GAACGAACTGAGGTAGCTTAAGAGATGTAGGTATTCAAAATTAGCCTACCACTCCAAAAAATCCTGAATAGAAAATGTGTGATTTACCCTCTGGTAATTTAACATAGCTATTGAAAGTCACCATTTTTAATGGGAAAATCCACTATTAATTGTCATTTTCCATAGCTACGTTAAATTACCAGAGGGTAACACAGTTGCAACCCCAGTGTTGCAAGGGTTTGTATGGTTGAAGAGAATGTTCTGATATATCCTGATGGGTAAGTTGCCGGGTAACAGTGGTGCCCATCATTGCAGGTATCCATGGCCACTGCCCATCCAAGGTTGAGCAAATATGTTCCCATGGTTTCCGATACAGAAACACATTGATATCCATAGGTCCTCAAAATTCTGATGCTAAGGAAATTTGATCATCATGGATCCACTTTTCATTGAAATCAGGTTATATCAAAGTTATATCATTTATATCCGAAAGTCATTATGACAGGATATGTTATCTGGAGTTGCATCAGGAGTTATAATTCATAAATGATATAGGATGATATAGGTTACCCTCTGGCAAACTGTTACATAACTATGGGAAATCACCATTTTTAACGGGAAAACTCACTATAAGAGGCGATTTTCCATAGCTATTTTGACATAACCAGAGGGTAAACCTCCATTTTCCTATGGTTTTCCTATGGTTTTCCTATGGTTGAGGAGTTTCCGCCAAAGTTTTCGCCGTTTCGCAAAACCCGCCGGGGCGCCGATACCATGGAGGCAGATGGCGGTGCGCACCCGAGGGTCCAGGCCATGGTCTCCCCTGGGGCCGCCCAGCAGAAGTCGACAGCGGATCCTGCAATCGTCCAGCAGTGGAACCCAAAAGATACATGGTATATGTGATATTAGGTTGAACTATATAGTTGATATGTGATAGATAGATATATATATATATGATGTTAAGTTTGCACATATTTGATGTATATATTATATAACTGGAAAAATATGTATATATATATATATATATATACGTTTATTCTCTCTTTCATGGCATGCATCGATTCAAGACTGTTTATTCATGTACCTAGCGCGATTGACCCAGCCTTTCGCACTGAGGGGGTTCATGGGTAGTCCGTTGTCAGTGTTTTAGAGGGATGCAAAGGGAATCAGTTCTAATTAGTTCACCGGATATGACATGACCGACATTTGGCTGATTTACAAACAAATCATCAGCCTGAAAAGGTTGTTATCATACGGCCATGTTGGGGATAATTCCTTTATACATTGGCCATCATTCCAGTGACGTCAGAGTCCGGTGATCGTAATTCATCCACAATCTTGAGTAAATGTATGTAAATATCAGGTTGGTGAATCAATGACTTACCGACTTATGTTGCTTAACAAGTAAAATTGTAAATCCGTGATTTAATCATTACAGTAATTTTCTTTTCCCAGCGATGCTCCATGCATGGTATCTCTCTACATTGTGGCCATGTTAAATCCCAAAGTTACTAGACATTTCCATACATGGAGCATCTTGCATTGACTTTATTCAGTTGCTATGAATTCAATTGCTGAGAAGGGTTGCAAATACCCTCCAAAGCCATTATTCAATTCCTTCGGTACTGAAAGATCCAGAGTAGGACACCGAATAGGATATATTAGATATATTTCATTGATTTATTTATATAAACTGACTGGTATCCCACTATGTATCCTGTTATATTCACACTATCATCTCCGGTAATTAAATTTATATGGACTCCATGGCCCAAGTTCGAGGATTTTACATCTTAAAAATGCTGAACAAAACCATAGCTAACTGTAACAAATTTCCAGGGGAAATAATCACATGTTTGTCTCCTATCATATTCCCATTCGCATGAAAAATCACAATATATCACGTTAAATCCACTTCTTATTGCCATACATCATCTTACTGGTGCTAAACGCAGGGAATTTTCGGGAATGATCCATAATCACTAGTAATAATCATCCCAGCAACCCCCATTCCCATCCAATCCTACGTTTAGCACCAGTAAGTCATGGGGCCCCCAACCGTTACCCTCTGGTAAACATGCAAAAAACCATGGAAAATCACTATTTTTAATCGGTAAATCCACTATTTCGACTGGGCCATTAGCTATTTTGACATAACCAGAGGGTATCCTTCACATAGCCATTGACTTGGGAAACTGATGATCAAACCATGATATGATAAGTATCCAGTGCTTAGTTTACCAAACGGTGAAGTTTCTTCATTGGGGCCCACCTGAACGTCACCAAGCGAGGTCTCCTCGTTCCATCTGCGCCGCTGACGTAGTGAAAGCTGTCGGCGGCCGCTGGAATCACCATGGCGCTGGGGATGGCTGGTGCTGGGGCTGAAATGGCTGGGAAAATGCTGGGAAAATGGCTGTGAGATTGAGCTGAAAATGGGTAACTTTGGAAGATCTTATGGAAAAGTCCAATCTCTGCTGTGAGTTTTCAGTCATAAAAAAACAGCTTGGCTCACAACAGTGCAGTTTGAAAGCACCAATCATGCAGGTGACGGCTTTCGCCTGTGAAGTCTTGCTGGACGCAGGGAAAGTGATTGCTTGGAAACTTCCTTAGAACCCTCCAAAACCCCTGGTGAGCACCATAAATCAATGGTGAATGGATGTTCATCCCCCTAAAGGTACAGTAATTATATGGTATAATAAGCTGTGATGTGTTTTGATACATCCCCGCATGTCGTCATTACCATGCTAGTCACTGCCGCCTGTGTTTGAGAACATGAGACGGCACCACGACACTGCGCGATTGCACGTGCAGAAAGATGCAGGTCCCCAATGGCCCCCAACACAAAAGAGTTTCAAGCTTTCAAGATTGGTACCCTCTGGTAAACTAACATAGCTATTGAAAATGGCCATAGAGATAGTGGATTTTCCCATTAAAAATTAAACATGGTGGATCTTTCCATTGCTATTTTGACATAACCAGAGGGTACTGAACCAAGACATTTCACTGCATGAAATTTGCCAAGACATTTCAAGATTCAGTGAAATGGCCGCGCATCGTCGCAGCTATCTTGCTACTGAACCCCTGGTCACAGCGTGCGTAAAACTCTATACATAGCTGTGAAAATGGGCGTGCGTGCAGCCTCCAAGTGATTTAGGAAGAAAAACATAGAAAAACAATCTATATGTTGGATTATGTTGGTGTTCAGAAGGAATCACAGGATCAATCCTACGCATTCAATCACAATTTTTGTAATGACTATATATGACTATCCTGTCACACTGTCACAAATTCAATCCAAGACCAGGGCTTCAGGGGAAGTGTTTTTTTTTAATTTAACCATCTGGTTATTTAACATATATAGCCATGGAAAATCACCATTATTAATAGGTAAACCATCTATAAATGGGCCATTTTCCATGGCTATTTTAAATAACCAGAGGGTAAGCATCAGCAACTGGGTTATAGATATTACCCAATAATAGAACCAACAAGGACAATTTTTTCCATCATTTTTTGATGATGTTTGATGGATTTATAAACCAGCCACTAATTATTTGGAGGAGGCCCCACTTAGCAAACATTATCCCTTTTATAGCTGGATTATAGATCCCATTGACTAATTTTGATTGTTCTTCAAGTATACGAATAATATCATTTAGGCTACTCCCTGGGAATCGAACATATCTATCAATCGAACATTACCATGTTTGATAGGATAAATGTCTATAAAATTTAAATATAAATGTGTCATTTTCGGAGCGATGTTAGCTTCCTGGAAGGTAAAATCTTATGAACATCGTAAATCTGGCATCCCCATATCATGATATCCGCTTAATATAATGTGTTAGGTTACCAAGCTGGGCAATTTACCTCGGAAATATCCCATAAATATCCCATAAATATCCTGATTATATACAAATTTCCCATGCAAAAATCCCATAAATATCCCATATGTGGAACATGAAGCCCGGGCACAAGTCCCGGCAGCTCTTGACGCGCCCGTGCGCCTGTCGATGCTGATTCCAACAGCCCAGCCGCAGCGTAACCGCCGAGCTTCGGCGCGGCAGGGCACGGAACATGGCGCGGTTTCCGCTCAGCCGTCTACCCGTCGACTCGTTTGGCCAGGATCTGTGGGTAACCAACTCATCCAACTAGGGGATACCCGATTAACAAACGGCCTGGGAAACATAGCAAAAACGAACGGGAAAGATCCACCATGTTTCATGGGAAAACTCACTATTTCGACTGGGCCATGGCTTCAATAGCAAACTGTTGACATAACCAGAGGGTATTTATAGTTTTTGTTTAGCCATTTACGATGCCGCTGCACATCCAAGCACGCTCTCCGACAGCAATCCATGGAGGATGGGATGGTCCGGCTGGATCATCCCAGTTTTTTTTAGGCTGGGGTCACTGGGGTCCAAACTTTTCATGAAATGAAGTCCATTCAGTTTACCCAACCTGGTTATGTTAAACATAGCTATTGAAGCCATGACCCAGTCGAAATGTCGTGGATTTCCCCAGCTACAAGCTATGGTGGATCTTTCCAGTTCGTTTTGGGTATGTTTACCAGGCCGGGTAACCTCCATTTTCCTATGGTTTTCCTATGGTTTTCCTATGGTTTCCCCTGCCGGTCTACCCAACTTGGGTCTACCGGGGCCGCCTTGGACAGCCACAACAGCTGCGTCGGACCCAGGGGACCCGGGCTTGCCTTGGACCCTGCTGGGCTGAACTGATGTTTGGGTACCCTCTGGTAAACTAACATAACTATGGAAAATCATGGAAAATCACAATTTTCAATGGGAAAATCCACTATAGATGGCCATTTTCAATAGCTATGTTAAATTACCAGAGGGTAAACCTCATCTGAAACCAACGCCCATTTTTTTGGGGGGTGAAAAATTCGGACAATTGAGATTGATGAAGCCTGTTTTAATTTATGAACCATCTATAACCATCTGATAATATGCAACTATTTTATGATAATTTTCATGAGTTCACCACATGAAGAGTTGAAGCTATCAACCTTCCAACTTTCCAGGGTTGGCCCTGGCGGCAAAGTCCTCCTGTAAATGTGAAATTCCAAAAAGCAGGCTCATCCCCCAAGTATGCAAGTTATGTTTGACTCCAGTATGTTGCAAGTCTCAGTAATGTTGGCTGACACTTCGCAACACCCACATTGAATCAAACGCAATATGGTGGAATACATGCCCTTTTGAAGTTCATCAATTTTCTTGGTCCATGTGAACTATGCAAAACCTGGGGTTGAAATCTGCGATTTCTATTTTTTCAGGCGTCTATCAAACATATTCATAGTTAAAAGATATTCTCAATGGCGAGTCACCATTTTTAGCTAGTTTGTGGTCCTAAAACTTCGGTATCACATGTGACCACTGTTCAAAAACCCTCTGTGGTCCCTTTATACTGCCTTGTGAAGCGGGATTTCCCATAGTGGAATATGATAATCCCAACTGTGTTGCGTACTGTAATGCCATACAATCAAAACAACAACAACAACAACAACAACAACAACAACAACAACAGGAGGGGTTGAACGCTGTTCATGCGGACGTGTTACCAATCAAAATAGTTAATTTTATGTAAATTTGAAATGTGATGGGATATTCATCTCTTATGGTCGTTTGAAAACTTCAGAGGATCCATATAAAACCAAAGAGGAACCCATATTAAAAATGTCACCATGGATTTTCAATATCAATCAGAATTAATCATGATTTTCTCCATTTCAGATAGATATTAATTAAACCGTATTACCCTCTGGTTATTTAACATAGCCATAGAAAATTGCCCATTTGTAGATGGTTTACCTATTATTACCTATTAAAAATGGTGATTTTCCATGGCTATGTTAAATAACCAGATGGTAACATTGATGTTTCAGTTCCCCTTATTTCAGCCGTCTTCACCACGCACCGGCTCCCCCTATAGCGGGAACGGCAGCCGCTGGCCTTGCTGAGCTCGGCAGTGACCTGAGAGCCGCGGGAACGAATCGGAAGTTGGTAAAGCATTCCGAAGTGGTCAAAACATGTGTTTGATTGAGGATAGTCTTATCTAATTATCTAATTATCTAATTATCTAATCTATCTATCTATCTATCTATCTATCTATCTATCTATCTTTATATCTATCTATCTAACTAACTAACTAACAAAGTAACTAAGTATCTAACTAACTAATTATCTATCTATCTATCTAACTAACTAAGTAACTAAGTATCTAACTAACTAAGTAACTAAGTATCTAACTAACTAAGTAACTAACTAACTAACTAACTAACTAACCAACCAACCAACCAACCAACCAACCAACTAACTTAACTAACTAACTAACTAACTAACTAACTAACTAAGCAACCAACTAACTAACTTAACTAACTAACTAACTAACTAACTAACTACCTAACTAACTAACTAACTAACTAACTAACTAACTAACTAACTAACTAACTAATCTAACTACTTGTCTATCTAGATCTAATTTGATCTAATCTAGTCATCTATCTATATGATTTAATCTAATCTGATCGAAGTATAATCTAATCTACCAATCGATACACTGATATTTTTTTTATATTTCACAATGTATAATTAGATGGAATAGTTTGCAGATATAACTGTTTTCTTCATATACATGCCAAACACTACAAAGAAGACCCCGCCAAGTTCAAAGTTATGTTATGTTCACTCATCCACCTGCAAATAGAGGTGTTGTTCAACAGAAACTTATGGAACATGTCAACTGCTACCGCGTCCATGACTGATATCCATCACCCATTATTTGCTAATCCCGAAGATGAAAAATGCATCCTGCGTCAATTATGGCACTTTAAATGTCCCCCCTGGTTCTTTAACATAGCTATGGAAATTGGCCCGTTTAGAGATGATGTATGATGATTTACCTATGAAAAGTGGTGATATTCCATAGCGACGTTAAATTTCCAGAGGGTAATGTTGTTGTTGACTCAGATTGGTATTCTGCAATGCCAGCCCAGGATTACACACTGTGACTCATCATGACTCCATTTTTTTCAGGCATCACCGTAGCTTCTGGAAAAAAACTACCACTCAAAAAACACCTAAGTTTACCACGTTTGATGTAACTGTTGGGTGGTGCCACGTCTGACCTGCATTCATCGCTGCCGAGTTTTTCTCTGCCAAACAATGGATCTACTATCTTCGTCGAAGGTTGGAGCTATGCGGACAAACATCAGGACAAACCGTGGTAAATGGTACAGTAATGTGATTTTGGGGGTGGTGATTTCTTGGGTTTTACCACATGATCCAGAATACATCCAGACTCCCCAGGGACCCTGCTTAGATGGGCCATGGGATTAACGATTCCTGGTTAGTAACTGGGGATTTGTCAATGAAATAATCCATTTGCTAACTAGTTAACTACCCTCTGGTTATTTAACGTAGCTATTGAAAATGGCCATTTATAGTGAGTTTTCCCATTAAACATGGTGATTTTCCATAGTTATGTTAAATTACCAGAGGGTAACTCCATGTCCCATCTAAGTGGAGCGTCTGGAGAAAAAAAAAGCGTCAAGCCACTCCGACCAACGGCAGGCTGGAGCCGCTGAGTTCGGCGTCGCATTTGCGGATCCAGAGGCTGCGCGTGGCCTGGGCCACTGGGACGCAGCTCTGAGAAAATATGATACCCGGCCTGGTAAACCAACTATAAATGGTTAATCTATGGTTAATTTATGGTTAATCTATGGCTAATCTATGGTTAATATTAATGGATAATCTATGGTTAATGGTTAATAGTTACCCGGCCTGGTCAACATACCAAAAACGAACTGGAAAGATCCACCATGTTTCATGGGGAAATCCACTATTTCTATGGTGATTTTCCAGAAAGTTATTTTGACATAATTATGTTACTCATTACCAGAGGGTAAAATCTAGAGAGACTCACCTGGCCGCTTGGGAACATCAAAGTTATTCAACGTGATTTTCAAGTCTACCCTCCGGAAATCAGACGTGGCAATGGGAAATCCCTTTTTTTCAGGTGTTGATCTGGGAACACCATTGAACTAAATGGTGGGTCTTCCAGCCATGTTTGATTGCCGGGTAAAACATGGTAAAACCACACATTTCTCATGGGATCCATGTATGGTATATATATATATGCTAGCATTGGGGGTATATTGATGGTAAATGTTACCATATATAGCATACATGGATCCTATGGGTTTTGAAACTCACTCCTTTTAAAACCTGATGATATATATATATATCCACATTGCGGCAACGGGGCTTCAGTCCATTGATCCGTATCCTCATGAAATGGTTAAGTTGATTTCATACCACCATTACTTACTGGTGCTAAACGTAGGGAATGAGGGAATGATCCACAATAACTATGAATAATCATCCCATTCCCATCCATTCCCTACGTTTAGCACCAGTAAGATTAGTCTACCCCATCCAAACCCATTAACATCCCATTCAAATCCGATTGAAATCCCACTAATATCCATCAACGTCCCGGTCCCGTTGCTTCCTGCCAGGAAAAAACGTCGGTGATGTATGAATCATTACAAGTTACCATCCCCAAACAGCTAGAAAAAACATGGAAACCCGTTACAATCACACTAAAATCCCATTCAGCACATTCAGAATCCCATTACCCGGCCTGGTAATTTAACATAGCTATTGGAAATAGCCATTTATAGTGGATTTACCCATTAAAGATAGTGATTTTCCATGGTTATGTTAGTTTACCAGAGGGTAAATCCCATTGAAATCAGGTGAAACTCCATGCCAGTCCCATGGAAATCTCGATGAAATCTGCTTTCACCCAGCCTTCGCAGGGTCACAGAGCAGCGATTCTTCCAGAGAGGCCTTCGCCTGGAGAAAGTCTGCCAGGTAGAAAAGGGCCTGGCCCAGCCGGAAGGGCCCGGTTATGGGGATAGTCTTGCGAAATCATCCATAAATGAATTGTAATGATATGTTTTTTTTGTATATAATATATAATGATAAGGATTATAATGAAACTAATGCAAAGAGGATTTCAGTTGGATTCTGATGGATTTCAGTTGGAATCCACGAATGTCACCATCATTGGTTTGAACAAATTATTCTTAAATCAAACAATCATCACTTGATCCCCATAGATCCCCATAATCAATCATCATGGGGACCAACTTTTGATTGTTTACTGTAATGGTGGGACCTAGCAATAAAAGTGCTGCTATGACCCGCTTAAAAACTCTCATGAACTACAGTTACATCTACCATAAACCCGGGAATTCATCTAAGTAAACAAACCAACTTATCCAACTCAGCTCAAGAACTGGGGGCCCATCTTGTAGTCATGGGAAGTTTGTGGGATATAACAAGGTTATATACCAGTACTAATATAGTATACCTATCTACGCTGGCATTGTATCGGTTAATTGTTCTATATTGTTCTCAATAAATGCCATGGGCCATGGGGTTCAAATGCGGCACTTGTATTTCACTGGATTATCATGGCGACATAATTGAAATTTTACACCAAACAATGGGCCTGGCAAAGGACACCAGGCGCCAAGTTCGCAAATAAAAAACACGCGTGCTGCCATCTGATCCCGGAAAAATACATGATTTAATCCATATTTTTTCCAGCAGTGAGGGATCAAAAATTGCTGTCGCCCGCAAGAATTGCGCGGTTCAAAAACTGTAACAGAAACACAGTCCGTTTGTTTCAAGTAAAGTGATTATGACATGACAGCAAAAACATGCAAAAACTGTTTCTGGTACATCCCCATCATTATCATTGTTTTGTAATCACCCCTCAGTTTCTGACCAGCTGAACTCAGGAACTCAGCTCAACCATGGCAGTTCGACGATGCCTTTCCAATAGAGGGCCTGGAACGGGACGCTTTGAACAAGGACGACCAATGGCACCATGGATTCTTCGTAGCTTAATGCTCCACTGAAAAACCCGGGACAATATCTGGTTGGTGGTTCAACCCCTTCGGAAAAATATGAGTTCGTCAGTTGGGATGATGACATTCCCAATATATGGAAAAACAAAAAATGTTCCAAACCACCACTTTGTACCGCTTTGTGAGGCGCACTGTCTTGAGGTGAGAAGACAGTACTTTAACTGTGGCGACTCTTTGGTCATTGTGGCAACACGGCCTGGGGGACGGGCAGCCGGTCAAGTTCCCGAGACTGCCGTCTGAAAGGGGTGAAACTGAACTTCTGGAACCAGTGATCGACTTCGACAAGGCGCAGGGGACACCACGGCAACGCCAAGCAGCTTGCAAACATACAAATCATATGGCTCTCCGGGCGACAGTAGCCAGCCGTCACCGGGATAGCTGCATGTCGAAGAGTTTCACGCAGGACTTTTCCAAACCATCTGGTTCTCTCCTTGAAGCCAACCTGCAACAGAGCATGCAAGGGGAAATCCTCACTGTCTTTCCAGCCATCATTCTTAATGGGTCCAGCATGGCCTGTCTGAAGGACATAATCCACATACAGTTGAGCATTGGAAACCCACACGACTGGACCTGGCTCCGAGGAAATGGCATGCCACAGCCAAGCAACGATTTTGGACACAATCGATCGCCCATACCATCGCACAGCTCCCATAGGAAGCACAGGGGATGCAGGAAGCCCCGTCCAGACAGGGGGCTTTGGAGCTTCGGCAACTTCTGGGTCACATTCCGCCTCATGATGAACACCACGTAGCACTTTCCGACTAACCTGAAGTAGGACGTGGTGAATCATGGAGTTCCATTCGTCAACCTGCCTACAAGCATTAGCATGTCGAGCAAGTAAATCCCAAAACACTGCATCACGTGCATCATTCGCTCTTGCAGCAGCATGATCAGCAAATTGATTATGAAGGAACGCCCACTCTTCCAGGGGTGAGAGAGCAGCACATACCTTCTGGTGAGCAGCAACCTTTGTAATCTGAACAGAACACCCATGAGAAACATCTGCGGCAATGTGCATCCACAGATCCGCATTCGGCGAGTTAACCCTGACGGGTGCACCAAGGAGAATACGGCGCAATCTACGAACCACTGTTTGGCAATCAGACCAGATCATCAACCTAAGGCCTCTACAGGCAGCAAATCGCACAGCACGCATAACTGCAAACAACTCAGCCCGGACGGAGGTTTGCCTGAGGCCAGGCAAGGTTCCACTATCCAAGACAATGGCTGGGCGAAGGAACGATGGATCAGCTATGACGACTGCATAGGCAGCAAGCCTTAAGTCAGGATAACCAGGGTTACAACAGGAACCATCTGTGAACACGTGCACTTCACCACACTCTGGCCATGGCATGGTCGGAACAATGCTTGCAGGGATGGCAGCTAAAAATGAATACCACTCCTGATGGGTGGTAGGCCTCAGAGCCCAGCCGTAGCAGGTGACACACTCAGGAAGGTCAGGAATAAAACTCCACAGCATGTCCGAAACACCCAACCGGCAATCAGCAAAACATTGGCAACCCCAGAATCTATGAAACCTAGAGTCAGAGCATTGGCAATACAAGCAGACATCTGAAGCTGCTTCTTGACAATAAAGCTTTCCATCCTGAGTGACATGAGCACCATTCAGCAACTTCCGAAAGGCAGCACGGTCATCCCGCGACAACTTGGACAACCATTGTCTAGTACGCACGGGGTCAACCAACGCAAGGTCACCAAGAGCTGGCCGATGTGCCACATTGGCAGCAACAATCTTCAACCACGCCCACTCCATTCGCCACTGCAGCTCCTCAAGGCAAATAGTGAAAAGCGAAAACCCCCCAAAGTCATCCACGAGTTGTGATTGTGAATCAACATGCCATCCCAGTGTCTGCACTCGAGTCAGCAATGTGGCAGAAATGCCATTGGCAGCATAATTTGTGTCACCAACCGACATGGCACCTAATGCCTGCTGAACAACTTCAGGAATGCCACAGTCGCGAACAAGACGGAAAGTTTGCAAGATTGCCCAAAACTGCGGGTCCGTAACAGGCTTCTCAATCAACCCAAGATGTAGCATGGAGTTGCAGCCAGCACCATCAGAATTCAGGCCCTTCATCGCACCAGCTCTCAAGGTAGAGAACGTCTGCAAAGACACTGTCGTAGCAGCAATTCCATGTAGGCCCCTAGGCCATGCAGCAGTGCGAAGGGCACGCAATTTCAGTTCATAGGGAGCCGAGGCTAAACGGAGTCGGGGCCAGATCGCCTGCAAAGACTGAACCCGAGCCATCTGGGTAGAATTGGTGTGTTTCCTTGTTGTCTGCACGTGAGCCCCCAGAACCCTGCAGCTAGTTTCAACCTTGAAACCCTGCGCAACCAAAGCCTTGCGTCCAGGTGGACTAGTGGACCATGCAAAGGTTTTCCTGGAATCAAGAAGGAGATCCATAGCATCTGTAAATCGCTGCAAACACGCAAACACCTCTTGCATTCGATCAGGGGCAGTGGTGAGGATGGTCCAGTAGTCATCAACATAAGACACCGGTTCACACAAGGGAAAGAAATGCCGATGCCACTGATGAAACAGAATGTCAACAATAAGCATCCCAAGGCAAGAAAGGCCATCACCTTCAGGCATTCCTGTGACACTATAAACCGGACGAGACAAGTTAGAACCAATCTGAAACCGCCGACCCAAGCCCGACAAGGCCCCAGCCCATGCAGTGAGAACATGCATCGTAATGCCCAACAAGGCAGCAGCTTCAAAAACCACTAGACGTGGAAGGTGATTGAAAGCCTTCTGCAGATCTGCAATGAGGCCCGACAGAGCAACATTGTTTGCAGTGGCATCCTCAACTGCCCACAACAATTGACTCCAAACCTGGCCAGCAAACCGGGCCATCCTGCTCCCATACAATGTATCAGGCAAGAACGGGTCAAGACGACGAATGGCACGTCGAGCATGATATGACCCCCACAACCGATAGAGCATCCCCAGAATCGTAATGGGACGATAGTCCAGGACAGAACTCGGTTGTTCAACCTTGGCCAGGCAAACCACTTTACCCATCAGCAGCTGGGAGGGCCACTGTCCAGTCTGTTCAGCAGTACTGTACATGTCGCAAAAATTTGAGAGAGCAGCAGGTGGCATGCTCTTGAGGTCTTTGATGGAAACTCCATCAAGCCCACAAGCAGAGGAGGACTTTTTGGATGCGATAAGCTGCCCTAACACATCAGGCGTGAGCTGAGGCCAATCTAACTGATGCCGTGGCAAGAAAGCTCTGGCAAACGAAAGAATAGTGACCCATCGATCTTCCGACACATGAGCATGGCGATCCCAACGCGCTTTCCATGCTTCAGCAAAGGCCTTTTCAAGGTCTGTTTTGGACCCAGTAAGTACACTGCAATTGAGAAACACAATGCCCAACCTGAACCCCATCAATAGAGTGAAGCCAGAGACAGTCTTCTTCCACATGGATGGTATTGAGCGGAAGCCCATGAGCTAACACGGGCAGATCACTAACCCAAGGCTGAGGCGGGTCGCGAAAAATCAAGTTGGGGTTACGAGCCCGACGAAGTCGCGCATACTGCCGAGAGGTGGACATCAATTGTTTTTTCCAACAGCCGAACATGGATTGCAACAGTCTCAAAAACAGGCACGGCAATGGATTCAGCAGGAGGAAACCACGGTAAAACCACAGGCGAGCCATGAACTTTGTGAGCACAGTTACCCCACCACTGAGAGAAACCCCCATCAAATCCAGGTGCATGCAGAATTGCAGCCCACACATGTTGCCTGTACACTAATGAGTGCCCACTCCCTCCACTGCTTCGAACAAAAGGCTGCAGTCTTCGCACTTGTCGGATCCACTGAGCATGACGAACAGAACACCCATGAAACTGAGGCTGAAAGTCACCAGTACGCCCAACCCTCACATGACACACCCGTCCCTGACGCACCTGGGTGGTCCGCACAGTGTGAGCACGACCAACCATCTGCTTGGAAACATGGAATGGCAAGGCTTGGGAAGCACGGTTCTCGATGGTCTGCCAGAGATTGCGATACCGAGGGCCAAAGAAATGGGCCAGGAGTCCGCCAAACATCATTCAGGGAAGCCTCACCCAGCCTATGAAAACGACCTAATAGCATGGCATGGTCTGGCCAAACATCGTTGATTACATCAACTTGAATGAGCAGGTGTTGCAATTCAGGCGATATGTAGCAGAAATCCTTGCGCGTCCTGGCCTTACAAGTAGGCTGAGGAGGAATGCCCCAGCGCTCGGCAGCAATGTCTTGTAGGTCTTTAAAACCCAAACCCTCCAGCACAGCAAACACGGGGAGTTCACCACTGGCCACATTCCAATCCCCCACCACGAAGCGAGGACCAGAAGACAAAAAGCCAACCGAGTCAGTGACTGCTCTCAGGAGCGCTTCATTGTGCTGCAACCTGGAAGGGTAGTAATGACTGTCTGGTTCACCATAAACAACCCCACCAGTGAGCCAAACATTGTCGATCAAGGATGTGAACACCATGGCCCGGGAGGATCGTTGAATCTCTACAGGCCACGAGGTAGGCACATGGCGAACAGGCACTTTGGAGAGGACCCCAACTCCTTTCCAGCATCCCGCCCCTGTGGCAGAAGGCATGACAGGATGACCACCCAAGAATGGACAAAACGGCGAGCCCGCAAAACGCAGACCGGCATTGAATCCAGCAACATCCTTGGAACTCAGATGCGTTTCACTCACAGCCCACAGGCCCCATAGGCAAGGTGAGCAGCAACATACGGCGCTTTACACCGCAACCCAGATGGATTCATCACCCCTAAAACAAAATTGGAACTGTCAGTAACCGGACCAGGATGAGAAGCCTCGCCAATCCGGCACACATTGAAAAAGAGCAACACCACAACCAGCCAGGACCTGGCACGAATGCAAGCCTTGACAGGGAAGGCAGTTGACAACCACCCCAAAAGCTGGAAAAGCAAGGGCACCAGAGCGGCAATCGCCCACAAGGCACAACAAGACCCCATCATCATCATACCATTGTGAGAGCCAGGCAGCTCATGCCCACCCCATCATTCACCGTCATCTCTTGGGCGCTTTTGCAACAATCCTCGTATGTGAGAAAGCTGATTCTCAAACATGGCCTGGATGCTCTGGTATTGTGTCTCAATCTGGCCGTGAAGTTGTTGAGACTGGGCCTGCATCTGGGCCTGAAGATTGGACACCTGCTGAGACTGGTGATGAGTGAACTCTTGAAAATGCCCATCAATCTGAGTCTGTTTCTGCATCAGCTGTTGGACCTGCCCTTCAAGTGCACAGAGACGGTCAGGGACATCATCTTGCTCCATGGGGGTTCCTTGAGGAAGTTTGGCCAGCACCGCAGCCTGAATACGGGACTCCATTTGCTGCATGCTATCCGTTTGAGCAGGTGCAGGCGAAACTGGCATTGCGGATGGCTTGAATTTGGTCCAGGGATCTACATGAGTCCAAGGGTCATCATCCTTGGCTGCAGGACCTCCGCACAGGGCAAGTGTTGCAGGTGACGCTACCGGCAGTTTGACCTCGCTCTTCACAGAAAAGTCACCGGACTTATGGCGGGAAATCAGAACCTCGCCATAATTGGTGTGCAGGATAGCATTGGGCGGCTCCTCAATGGCTTGCACAATCCACATCGCCCCACGTCCTGGTTGAGGCGCACCAGGTTGGAGAGGGCGACAATTCCAACCTACATGCTTCATCACTTTGCAGATTGCTTGACGATCCAGGCCAAACGGAAACGGGCCAGCTATATACCGCAACCGCTCCCCTTGCGGGAGGAACAACGTGTCCGGTCGAACCACCTGATGAACTTCTTGGGCCTGGTCAGCAGGCACTCTGAGTCCACGACGCTCACCAATCCGTGCCAGACCCAAAACCGCCGGATTGGTTTGCTTGAGATGGAGCAACTCACGCAAGGTCAGCTTGGGCGTCCAGATCACCATGAACTCATTCAACACACGCTGTCCATCAGCAGACCGAGGTTCAACATAGGCACCTGCAGTCCCACTACGGTTGAGCACCCTTGTCAGGAGACAATACGGGACCCGCAAAGAGACACAGAACAAGTCAGCTTTGGCAAACTCACAAGGCTTGAAACCTGTTTTCATGCATTGGCGCTTCCACAAGTCAAGGATGGGTTCCTTCAGAGGAAGATTCTCTTCATTGTGCCAGGACGGACACTTGCAGCCAGCAACACCACATCGTTTCAGCTCTGGAAAGATCTGAACCAATTGCTTGACAGGCGCTCGGGCAAAGGAATCCCACTCATCAACTTCATCACGGAACACATTGATCCGAAGCGAACAGACATCTGGAGACTCAAGTGAGACAAGGTTAGCCCCAGCAAACTTTTCAACACAGCCATTGCCAATTTGAACCAGAGATGCCTCAGCCAAAACCGGCTCATTGTCAACAGTACATCGGCAAGGAACAGTGACCCGAAGTTGAGCCAGCATGGATTGCAAGGGTTGATCAGCACGATGAAAGACAACCAAAGCAAGTGGTTCCTGTGAAACAAGACGGCCGGCTTTGAGGTACGGATCAGCTTCTTGTGCAGTCATCAGGACAACCCCACTACTGACAGGGCCAATCTGCTGTGCACACAATTGTGGAAGGACAGTAGTCCCAGACCGAAACGTGCCCTCCAACACACAAAGCTTGTGGGGGTCAATTTCAACAGGAGGTGGAACCCCTGGGACATTCCGCTCCTTAATGGATTTCTTACCAACAGGCTTACCTTTGTTTTCAGCAACTGCAGCTTCCAATTCAGAGGGAAGGACCCACTTGAAACCCGCATTGGTAGCTAAGGCTTTCATCTGCCGCCAAGGTTGCTTCTGCTGCATAGCTTGAATCAGCTGTTCACTACCAATAGCTTTGATAGCCTGAGAGGCTCTCTGCTCCGTCAGTGCACCAGGGACACCATGCAAACCCAACTCTTCAGCAATTGACTTGACAAGGGCACCTGTTCCACCATCACCCCAGACCAAAGGGCAAATGCACATTCGACGCTCAAACATAGCCTGAACAAATGAGGCACGCATGTTTGTAGCCATGAAGTCCAAAGTGCGAACCGAATCAGGCAGATCAGCATCAATCAGGATGTGGGCCAAAAAGGCGAGAGCATGGGCCCCACAAAAGTTGTGGGACGGGAGACCATGAGGAACACGATGAATCACCACCTCCTCAAAACCCAAGTGAAGTCCAATCCAGCGAAGCTTACCATCAAAAATGTCATAGTCCACAATGTCATCAAATGTGTGGAACACCAGCACCATCCCGGCTGGGACCGCCCACAGCGGAAGCCAATGGGACCCTTCAAGCACAACTGCCGCAATTTGATGGCCATGAGACTTGACCTGCTTTGCACCCTCACACCATTTCTCAGTGAGGATATGCCCAACAGCATCCCAATTCAGGAAGTTGAGGCTTTCAAATGGGACAACGACTGGGCGGAAGGTATCAGAACCTCCACTACGCGAGGCACGTTTCTGGAGCAGTGTGGCAAGATGGAATCGCACTTCATCGTCTCCCATGGAGCGTCCATGGACAGCAAATAAATCAATGCGCTCATCTGTGGAAATACACTGATGTGCAAACGGCACACCGACATCAGTCTGGGAAGCAATCTGCGTGGGTTCGGCAACCGGAAGAGCATTGACCGGGACCTGATCCTCAGAAGGCCAGGAGCGTTCAGACGCCTCATCACTCTCCTGGCCCGATGCCCATATCCAAGGTCGGCTCACAAATTCAGACTCATTCAGTGCATCATTGAACACTCGTCTAAACTCAGTGTGAAGAGCCCAGACAGCTGCATACTTGGTGACTTCAGTGGAAAGCCCAAGTTGACAACCCACAAAGTTGATGGCAACTGCTCCACAGGCAGACCGGCAACGAACATCCCGGTGAGTGTGATCAAACCGCAAGGATTGGAAGCCCAGAGCAAAAGCAAAGTCAATCAAACAGTTGATCCACTGAGCAGGAATCTCCGCTTGGTAGTCCCCAGTGACAATGCGAACACGCGTCCCAGCAGGGAAGAGAAGAAAAGGCACCCAATGTTCCCTAACCTTGAGAGTTCCAACAAGAATAACCTGCTCAGCACAGGCAAACCGAAAGAGGCGCGCAGACTCAGTTGCTGACATCGAACCCTGTGAAGTCCATGAGAGAGTGATCAAAGGATCAACAACTCGAACATGCCTGACAAGCTGATCATTGCTGACCACATTACATTGATCTGCAAGAGCCTGAAGGTGAAATCTGATTTCATCATCTGCCCAAATACCGTACTGACCTGCAAGAAGGTTCCTGCGATCATCGGAAGCAAGCACTTGGCTACGAACTGCCGCATACTGCTGTGAAGTCCTGAAGGTGGGACCTTTCAAAGCACCTAATCCATCAGAGGGAACACATGCAAGTGCATCGACGACTTCTTGAGCAACCTGAGCCGAGCATCCCGGAGAACCACCACTCCACACAGGGCAAACCGCCACATCTGTTGCACAAGAAGGGCTGCCAGTAGCAGCTCCATGCAGCTCCGACTCAGAACTCACCTCCCCACCCTGTGGGGGACCAGTACCCCAGAACCACGGGCGAGACACCTCAGTGAAATTTCCAATATGCTGCATAAATCTGCGTCGCAAACAATGATGTTCTTCCCAGGCAGGGACGTTAGAGCATAACCGAGGAAACCCAGCAAGCTGAGCTCGGAGGAAATTGATGGCTACAGCACCACATGCAGACTTTATGGCAAAAGGTCGGACAACATGATCAAAGAAAGTCTCAGTAAAACCAAGGCAATGTGTCATGCGCATCAAACAGGCTGACAATGTCACCGGAAGCTCTTGAGCTGCATCATACGAGGCAATGCGCACTGTGGTGCCCCAAGGTGTGATCAGGACGGGAATCCAATGAGCATCAACGCAGAAAACTCCAATGGCTTGTAGTCCATCAGCCAAGATTTCAGGATGGGTGGCCGCCCACTCAGCACAATCAAAGGCCTCAGGATCAAGCCATGCTGCAGAAACAACTGGATCAACAACAACTACCTGCTTCGGTAGGCATTCAACCCCACGTTGACATTCTTCGGCAAGTGCATTCATATGGAACCTCATTTCATCATCGGCAACGGCACCCAACTGGTTTCGCAAAATTGCCAGCCTGTCCAGGGAGGGAAGAACCTGGCCAAGGATAGACCACAACTTGGTGGGCGAATCAACGGTAGGTGGCTTGGTTTGGAGCATCTGTGCATTACTCAAGGCAATAAGGTCAGCAACCTCCCATTCAATCCGTGACCACAATTCACGACTGTAAGCACCAACATCATACAATCCACGAAGACGTATCTGATGAGGGCCGGAGGACAGATTGAGAGAAAACAATGCAGTGATAGGCTCCCCTCCAACTTGAACTGTATGCTCAATGTATCGAGGCAGCCTTTCAGGCTCTTCGGGCATTATAGGGAGTGGCCCGGATTCCCTGGCTTGCAAGCTGTCTGCATCGGGAGCAGGCACAGCATCAGGACAAGCAGACCCCGCGGATGGACAAGAAGAAGGACGAAGACGCAATGGAGGTCTTGACCTGCCATCAACACGAATGCCACTCTGAGAGCTCCTGTGATCAGGCACAGTTTCACTGTCAGTATTGCTTGCATCACAACTACCAACTGACGGATCAGACTGGGGGGACACAACCGGAAAAACCCGATTGACCACAGAAGGACAAGACTCATGTGTATCGCCTGGCACAGTTGGGTCCTCAGAGCTATCATCCGAGGCATCACCAGCACCCCAGATCCAGGGACGGATGACAAATTCAGACTTCTGAACAATATCGGTAAAGCGGAACCTGAGCATATCATGAACAATCTGCACTTCCGAACTCACAGTCGGGAGCTGGATGTCACTTAACGCTGATTGAAGGAAATGCACGGCCATCGCACCACATTTGTCTGACACAGGAACCAGCCTTTGCTGCCTTGACACAAGAACTGATCGGAAACCCAACCCACGAGCAATCTTCTCCAAAAGGGTATTCAGGGGTGAATGGTCATTGACTGGGGAATCCCATGTATACACCGTAGCATGGGCCTTGCACGGTACAATATGAAACGGGACCCAATGAGTGTCAAATCTACATGCACCAATGATCTGAACTCCATCACGCATGACTTCAGGATGATCATTCGCCCAAATTGCACAAGGAAAGGCACATTCCTCAAGCCACGCAGTACAAAGAAGCGGATCAAGCACCATCACAGGGACCTGAAGGTTTGGCTTTGGAGCAGCAATCACACTCAAGTGATAAGCCATTTCATCATCAGACCAAACATTACCCTGTGCCTGCAGCAAAGCATATCGATCCGAAGAGGAGACAAACTGCTGTCTCAGAGCCTTGAACTTCTGAGCATCATCAATGCGGGGCACTGCAAGTCTCACAAACTGCTTAGCAGTCAATGGAAGGAGTGCATGAATCTGCCCTGTGGGAGGCGGATACTGCAGAGTGGCACCCTCAGACACCGAGGATACATCCACACCTACATCAGGTTGCCAGCAAATGGTGGGAGACACAACTGGTGGCTCATCCAAGCCCCCATGACCAACTGCATCAGAGGCAATAGCATGGTGAGACTCAGGACCCGGAAACTGTCCAGACCCTTCTCGCATGGGAACATCGCTGCAAGAATCAACAACCTGCTCAGGGACAGGACCCATCACATGTGAAGGCATACATGAGTCATCAGCAGAAAATGTAACCCCCTCATCGCTGGACGAAAAGAAAATTTGCACATTTTGACCAACTTGGATTGGCTGAGTCATCTGAACTTCGTCTCCAAACTGGTCACATACTGATGAAACCCTCATGGTGCCCGTCAGCTTGGCGTGGGCACTCAACAGATCAGCAACTGTGGAACCTGACTGAAAGCGGAAACTGACACCACTGCCATGAGAGTCAATAAGAGAGACTTCTGACACTCCAACCGAGAAAGACGTATCACATTTGGGATCGCACACAGGAAAGTCAAACCATGGAGTATCAATCTCATCCTCTGGTGGTGCTCGATGCTCTGCAGCTTGAGCTTTGCGAATCAACTGGTCCAAAACCGCAGCAACAGAGAGGTGAGACACCGGAGGATCCTCAAGCCAGTTCGGGTGCACCACCTGCTCAAGTGAAAGGGTGCGCACAGGGTACCAGAAAGCAACCATTTCCGCAAGAGACCGGTCAGAAATAACCTGCTCAGTGCATGGCCACGCTGTCTGACATTTCATGACAAGCCAAGACCGGAACGCAAGCAAGTGGGCCAATGGGCTGTACTCAGCCTTGTCTTTGCTCAAGTACTCAATTCTCTGTAGGACAATACTGAAGACCCAAGCGGCCTGAAGTGGGCTTGCAATCTGTCCAACCCCTGACAGAGTAAGGCGGACGTTAAGCCCGAAGTCAATGGTGCAATCCATGCCATTCAATGCCAGAGCTTCTGATGGATGAACATGTCGAATCTTCTGACCAGACATAGCCTCGGAGGTGCTAGAGACCAGAAGCCCAAACAATCCCTTGTCATGCAACCTCTGTGCTGAGAGACCAAAGTCACGACAACCACAAGGGCACGCCCTGAGTTGGGAGCCCCAAGCATGCAAAGCAGTGGGAGCAATCCCATCTGCAGACATAAGATACCTGGGGTATGTTCCGTCATTGACTCCAAATGCCTGGCATTCACGAGAGTCCAAGCACAATGCCAACTCATCTCTGGGATCCCATCGGCAGATGTAGGGGATAATGCATTGGATCTTGGGCAATCCATCAGCACGCAACCATTCAGTGAGGCCTAGCTTCCCTAGACAAGGGTCATACAACACCCACCAAGTTCTGTGACGCCGAGAGGGCCAAATGGCTGAGAGCTCAAGGTTGATGGTCTCCTTCACAAAGCCGGAAAGTTCTACAAACCTATCAAGGTGATGAGAAACAAACGGATCATTGCATGCAGGCACAACGCATTCAAGCACCAAAACCCTGATACGCAGAAACAGAGCTGCACGAAGGATTTTGGGGAGGGACAGCGCACGGGGGTCTGCCCCTCCTTTACGATCACCCAGCTGAGAAAACGGCTGGCATGAGAAGCCTGCACTCATAACTGCAGCATGATTGCTCTTGGACCACACTTCAGCAATCACCATCGGGCATCCGACATCACCGGTCACATACTCACATCCACCATGAACCTTGTGCAAGTCCACCATCCGTGCATTGGAGTCAACTGCAACCATAGTCTGCATACCAACAGCATGAGCACCATGAGTCATACCTCCTAACCCGCAGCAAGCATCAACCAGTTTGTAGAAATCCTCCCATGTATGCTGAGAGTGGTACAAAACCTTTGTCCCTTCATCCACCCTAAGAGACGGAATGGAAAACTGCTGAACCAAGACAACATCTAACAGGGTGAGCACGTCAGACGCTCCATCCAAAAGTCCAGCAAGAACCATCACTTTCCCTGTGTGGACTGACCGCACTAAGTGGCGCTCATGAGCAGGGTCAAAAACCATCACCTTAACCACAACAGAGAAGCGACCACCAGTATCAACGCCAGCAAGGTCCATGATCAGATCCATGGCAACACGGGGTGAACAGGACGCTCTACGATCAGCAGGGCACGGCCGCACCTGCTGGTAGGTGTAGAGCCCACGGCTGTTCCAAACCAGCAACCAGTCCAGCATATTGTTTACTGTATATGTCCTCCGATTTAGTCGATCAACATTGTTGAGTGCAGCTATATCCAAGCGGGAAAACACCAAGCAAATGAAATCACCGTGAAATCACCGAAACACACCCTGTGTGGCTACAGTATCATTTATCTGTGTTCTTCTGTATATATACCCTCTGGTGATTTAACATAGCCATGGAACATCACCATTTTAATAGGTACATCATCTATAAATGGACATAAATGTTTCATTTTCCATAGCTACGTTCAATAACCAGAGGGTATCATATATATATATATACTAAGTGACCCCATGTACAGACCTTGGTGGCTGAAAAAACCCATCCCAGCAACAAGGTGGTGGCCCCTCTGGTTATGACTAACCTAGCCATGGTTTTTCGATGGCCCATAGAAATAGATGGTTTACCGTTCTTAAAAATTATAATTTTCTATGGCTATGTTAAATAACCAAATGGTAATTCTTAAATATCAAATTGCAAGTTATTTGCTAACTTGGAGTCATAGTCATAAGTCAAAACTGTCAAAACGCTAGCTTGTAAACACTAGTCACTAGTCTAGATTGACTATATTAACGCAATGATTATATGGTTAGATTGTTAAACTATATTGGACTATTATGAACGACACAGTGTTGAATGTACTTATGTTAGTTGATGTCTCTTTCAAAGGGGAAACCTACTATTATCTATTTTATGAACTACATTAATCATGATTAATAACATGTTTGTGGTAGATTATGATTATATACTAAGGTTTTACTACTGTTTGATGGTGAATAATGAATAAGTGAATAATGAAAATGATAGTGGCTATTATCATTGATTGATTACTATTATTGATAAAAATTATTGATTGACTACTATCATTTATGACTAATGACTAATGGATGATAGTAATCACTAATGTTGATTACTCATAATCAAGTAAATCATCTGGATAATATGCGTATATATTTCCGTTACTAATATTACCCACATAACCCTCTGGTAAACTAACATAACTATGGAAAATCACCATTTTGTAGCTGGGTAGATCAACTATGAATGGCCATGTTCAATAGCTTTTTGTTAGTTTGCCAGAGGGTATTCCCATTAATATCATCCCATTATCATCGCTATTAAACCATATTAAACCATATTAAACCATATTAAACCATATTAAACCATATTTTTCAGAGGGGTAGGTACTAATGCTAGATAAGGAACAAGTTGGCCAACCAACCAACCCGCACAGCCAGCGCTGCCAGCGCAGCGCCTGTGAGTTCTTGGGATCCAGCTTCAACGCCTCACTGGCATCCTCCAGGGTCTCTTCGAACCTGCGTGGGGCCAAAAACCATACAATGGGTATATGAATAGTGAAAAATAGTGGATTTACCTATTGAAAATTGTGATTTTCCATAGTTATAGTATTCAATACCATATCTGGTTGGTGGTTGAGCCCTAGCCCTCTGAAAAATATGAGTTCGTCAGATTGGGATGATTCATCCCAACTATTGGGAAAAATAAAACATGTCCAAAAACCAGATAATTATTGTATTGTTGGTATAGCCCCACTACGCCTGTAATATTAATGGCTATATTAATTATAGTCATAGTAATATTAATATACCAGTACAATAAATATTTATGGCTACCAATAAATATACTGTAATATACCGTAATATGCCATATCAAACTTCAACGTGCCACAATATACCAAAGATGTACTTACCCTCCGGTACATCAACGTAGTCCCTGCCAGAAATTTCGGGGTTTGGAAGATTAGTTTCCACCAAAAAATGGTTATCTTTAGGGCCATGTTTTTGTTGTCGGAAGATTATGTTATCTTCCAGGTAAATTCAAGAAACCATAACAAACCTTTGGTAACCCAAGCCCCTCAAACACCTCAAATGAACTCCAGGGGTCTGATGTCTCAGTTGAGACCTCCGGACCCTTCGAGAAGCTATGACGCGGCAAAAAAACGGTGGCAGGAGACGGCCACATGGCCGAAGTCGACAGTCATTATGCAGCAGTCACGTTGATGTTTTGTTCTCATTCCAAATGAATAAAATTTATTAAAATGTGCTGATTCTATGTCCTTCAGCATGAACCACTAAATATCAATCTTTATCATGGTGGTTGATTCTGAAATTCCCGGGTCGACACAGGACGCGCCACACTTTTCAAGGACTTAACGACAGATTGCTGCGCTCACATCGCCTGTCACTGGCTGCGGTTGGGAGGCACCACAAGTCAGGGTTGCTTCCACCCCGAAGACAAAGAGATTTTGCCAGGGATTAGAAGAGCACTAATATAGAGGTAGCAAAAAAAACATCCTTCGTGGCCATCATTTAGATATACCATCTGGTTATGACTAACATAGCCATGGAAAATCCCTGAAATAAATGGAGGTTTCTAGCTGGGAAAATAATATATTTCTAGGGGCCATTGTCCATGGCTATGTTAAATAACCAGATAGTATGGCATTTTAAGATTTATGTAACATATTTCAACCTTCATCATCTTCATCAACCTTAGTGGCTCAGGTGGCAAGAGGGTAATTCATATGATATAATAGGTTGGAGCAGCCGGCTGTCTTTCCTTTGAACAGCTACAAAGATTGTCCCGCCGAAATCACCCGATTCCATCAATCCAAGAGAGATTAGTTGTCATCCGATTCTTAGGGATTAAACAAACACAAAAACATATTTGAAACCATTGAGATAATCAACCCTAGGTTTAAGAATGGCTAGTCACCACAATAAATCCTGATGCATATCTTTCTTTCACAACTATCAGGATTTATTTAGCCTATATAAACTACCCTCTGGTAATTTAACATATTTATTGAACATGCTGATTTATACTTAATTTACCCATTAAAAATGGTGATTTTCCATAGCTATGTTAGTTTACCAGAGGCTATTTGATAAAGTTGATATTTCATATAAGGTCATCACATCAACTGCGACGCCACCGCGAATCAAACCCCCCACAACTGGGCCCATCCCAGCTATCCCCGGTGACGTCCCTCGGGACGTCGTGATTTTTTTTTCTCTGACCAGATCGGATTCTATCCATATCTCCAACGATACCCTCTGGTAAACTAACATAGCTATGGAAAATCACTAGTTTTAATGGGTAAATCCACTATAAATGGCAATTTTCAATAGCTATGTTAAATTACCAGAGGGTATGTGGTTTGTATCGTAGCACTTTTATACTTTTATAACCTTTTATAGCTGATAAGTGTTACAAGATCTGCCCAACAACGACCATTGATTCAATATTGATTCCATCAGTAGGCCAACAAAAATGGATATATCCATTAATACCCCAGTATTATCCCATAATTATCCCATTGTCATCCCTATCTGGTTGGTGGTTTCAACCCCTCTGAAACATGATGGACTTCGTCAGTTGGGATGATGACACTCCCAATATGAATGGGAAAGTCATAATCCATTCCATGGTTCCAGTCACCAGCAACCAGGACACCATGAAGAATCAACCAACATCAACCAACCAGGTTTCCATAGTTATGTTCCAAACCACCAACCAGATGATGATTAATGGGGATTAATGAGGATTAATAGTGGATTAATGGGGATTCATATGGATTACCAGACCCATATGCTCCATGGTGCTGGTATATTTACCAACATTTGCCCGAACAAAATCACCCAGTTTTGTAGGTAAATATACCAGCACCATGGAGCATCTGGGTATGAATTACCAGAGGGTAAACCTTATGAATGGCCATTTATAGCCTCATTAACCACTATTAATCACTATTAACCACCATTTTCCTATGGTTTTCCAACCCACCAACCAGCCATTTATAGCCATAGATTCCAACGCCCCAAACGATCCCCACAGGTCGCCTTCGCCTTGGGTCGTGACGTCGCCGCGGCTTTCAGCTCCGCCAACTCCTTCCGTTCCTCGGATTGGTTACGTCCGGAACGGGACACCAGGATGTGACATGTGAAAATTGGAGGTTTTAATGGGAGAAACTATAGGAAAACCATAGCAAAACCATAGGAAAACCATAGGAAAATGGAGGTTTTAATGGGAAAACCATAGGAAACCATAGGAAAAATGGAGATTTACCCTCTGGTAAACTGCCACATAACGAACTGGAAAGATCCACCATTTTTGAATGGGAAAACTCACTATTTCGACTGGGCCATTTTCAATAGCTATTTTGACATAACCAGAGGGTATACATGCTCAATGTGGCTTTATATGGTTGTTATTATTGGGATAATGAGATGTCACTGGGAAACATTGGAAAACATTGGAAAATCACATGGAATCCTATCTGGAATGGGAAAAATCACTGGCTTATTTACCCAAAAATGTACCTATCCATAGTTATACATGCATAATATGATTTGATATGGTTGTTATTATTGAGATAATGAAATCGGATATTATTTTTCAATGTATATTAGGATATTCATGGATTTACCATCTGGTGTCATCAAACATAGCTGGAAAATCCCCTGTAAATGGAGATTTAGAGCTGGGAAAATCATCAAACAAAATGGAAGATTAGTGTTGATGACCGGAGAAGAATCTTGAATTCCATATTACCATGGGAAAACATGGGAACATGTGTGAGAAGATGTAAAAAAAACGGTTTGCCCGGGTCACTGGGAGAATCAATTATTTTAAAATAATGTAAACATATATGTGCCAATGTTTTTTTGACATCAAAATCGCTTGACCAAGCTAACAGTACTCGAGACTCAACAGGGATGGCTTTAGGAAGCTCATGTGAAGAGCACGACATTAAAGACGTCAAATCAACATTCAGACTATTTCAATCTCACGGAATCATAGAGCAAAATACAGCTGATCTTGTTCAAATAGTTTGATATGTGTTATCAAAAACAGCACCCAAAACTATAGCCCTTTGGTCACCTTGCCCATGGTGACCACTCTTCTCTGGTGCGGAGCCTGTGTATGTGGAGGTTGGCCCTCATGGAATTGGACGTCGGCTGCACTGGATTGGTGAGAAAGCTGCCGTGTCGGACAGGCCGTAGGCCCGTAGGCCGTAGACTACGGACACCATGGTGTCAATGTTGTGGCAGTTGGGGAAGGCCTGCTGGGTCTTGGCCAGGTACATGGCCACATGGCCACGTCGCGTTTGCATAGTTTGCGCTTGGCTCCGCCAACGCAACAGAAAGGGACAAAGTGGCTAAGGGGATACAGCAAGGTGGCAGCAAACAAGCACGAAAACAATCTGAACCCCAATCGTTCTCACTTAGATCTGAAACGCACGCGATGGTTAAATCTTTGCTGTTGGTCAAAATCCACATGTTTGGTGTAAATTACGTGCGTTTTTTCATGGTGTTCCCACTATTTTCGTTGGTCCGATCCCCACAATCGACATTGTCGGGGTCAACACCATTTTTTGCGAGTTATATCACCGTGTTTCTTGCTCAAACATGGCATGCCGTTTCTGCGAAAAAAAATGTTTGTTTTGTCCATGTTGGTGGATCAGATCACAAGTTTGCTATATTTTGCTTGTAAGGTCGTCCTTTTTGCTCCTTCACTCCACCACTTCCCATTTCTGCAGGTTGAAATCATGTTTGATGTCCTCCAGAATCCTGTCCCAAATTTCGAGCAAACCCCTGTATTTCTGACCAACACATCCTCCAAAATCCCACGGACCCGCAGCCACTTTCTCCAAGCCACGTCCGCCACTTTCTCCAAGGTGGCGCGGCCGGCTTCCACCATGATACCCACCTGGCCATGTCGGGCTGCAATAGTTCCTGAAGACCCAACACGCACACCAAAAGAAAGAATATAAAGTCTTGATATAATGCATACTCAGATAAATAGATAGATAGTTAGATAGATAGATAGATAGGTAGGTAGATAGATAGGTAGGTCGATAGACAGATAGGTAGGTAGGTAGGTAGAGATATAGGTAGATAGATAGATAGACAGACAGGTAGGTAGATAGATAGATAGGTAGATAGATAAATAGGTAGGTAGGTAGATAGATAGATAGATAGGTAGGTAGGTAGATAGATAGTAGATAGGTAGGTAGGTAGATAGATAGGTAGATAGATAGATAGGTAGATAGATAGATAGATAGATAGATAGATAGATTAGGTAGGTAGATAAAATTCCTATATCCTTAAAATTCCTTAAAGAACATCTTTCTCCCATTGCTTCGCCAAACAGTGACCCCGGCAGTGACGCCACTGCCGCCAAGCAGCCGGGATGGAGAACAAAGCCACCCCGCAGAGGCAGTAGAAAATGCACAAACCTCACAAGGCAACGTCACTCGAATGGCGGGAGCTTTAGCTTTGCAGGGCTAAACTATAACACTCTTTTACAATTATTGCTTCACCAACCTAAGATTTAAGAACAAATTCTTGGGTAATATCATGTCATATCACCAATTGTTTGCATTCTCCATCATTCACAAGGCAACGTCGCACGTCGTGTTTCCCCGCTGCCCCATTCACCAAGATGCGGCTACCAGCGCCATCTGTAAACTCGTCATTGGCCTTGGCCACGTCCAGCACACAACTCAAGACGTCCAGCACTTATTTCAGCAAAAACGACGGCTTATTAACCACATTATTTCCACTTATTAATCATATTATTTCCAGTGTGAGGTATTGTTTTATGTGAGAATGCATTGAGATATGGCTTTATTGAAGTTGATTGCTGGCTTTCTCACATTTCTGCTAGCTATATCTCCTCTGGGTTCCGGCAGCATGGAACAACCCAGTGCCGAGCAACCCATTCACCCAGGAGATAGATGCTGCACCAGTACAGGGCATCCGGAATGGATCCCATCTGTTCCTATTCCGCGATAAGCTTCGCTGGGGATGGCTGATGGACTGGATGTCTAAGAAAACAAAAGCACCTGATGGAACTTGAATCTCGAGTTTCTGTTCATGGTTTATATTGGTTGATGATGTGAACTGGGTCTTTACTAATAGGATAATTAGGATATAATTAGGATATAATTAGGATATAATTAGGATATAATTAGGATATAATTAGGATACTGGAGACAAACCCGATCACGAGTCAAAGAGCGTTGCTGGAATGGGGAACCGCAAACAGTGGTTGGATATGCCCATGGGTTCACGAATAGCAAGCTGGGCATTTGGAGTTTTGGTGGGGGCACCATGATGATCTGGACCTGCCGATGTTACTCCACCTGTTAACCATATGAACCCCCTGGCCTCAAAGATCCTAAAAGTCCGCCATTTATGGCCTTAGGTGCCCCAAACAAAAGCCATCAGCCGCCATCATCTTGCCTTATCGGAGGGCTCTCCCTCCACTGCGTAGAAGTTCTCCAGCCACACGAAAATGCCTAGCCATCAGAAACTCACCTGGAAATGTGGAACATTTCCGGAGAAATTCTCATAGAATGGGTTGGAAAAAAAGGGAATGTGGAACATTTGATAGCTTTCCACTAGAACTGGGTAGAAATGGTGAGTCTTTGCCTTCCAGGTTAGGTTCTCTTGGTGCTAAAAGGCCTCAACAACCGCAGGCAAAAGCTGGAGTCGTGGTGATGCTCCATCTCCATTTGGATTGCCGCAACGCCATGTCATTTGTACCAAAGGGCATGGTTCATCCTCAAATTACTTGTATACATATGTATCATATGTATGCATATATATTCTATTTCTATTTCTAGAGGAGTGATTGTTTGGCTTTGAGAAAAGCCACCATACAAGTCTGATATGCATTTTTATTTCTATTTCTATTTCTATTCATTATACGCATATCTGTGCAAATGTCCATGTTTAGCCATATTGGGATACATCTATATTCTAGATATATCTAGATCCATTGGACTAGCCAGTTATATCATGTTATATCCCATATATGGTCGTTTTTTTGGGGGGGTTGGAATGAGATAGTACATACTATACAGTATACCTTAACTTGGTTCAAGAGCTATACTCTGTAGAGGGCCTAGAGGGTATATACGTATATACATATAGGTTCCGCATTTATTTACAACATATATGGGCAATATGTGTCACATATGCCCCCACAATTGTTTTTCACATATGCGCAAATGTCCGTAAGATCTGATTTTGTGTAAATCAGATCTTACGGACATATAATATATGTCAGTAAGACCTTATTTACGTAAAACAAGATCTTGAATCTTAAATATATGATATGTGATACATAAATGTAATGTATATGTAATGCATATGCAACTGCAAATGTGTACACAAATGTCTACATGGATATATGTATATGATCATGTCCGCCTGTACTCTACAGAAACCTGGCCCACATAGCTCTTGAATCAAGATAAAGTATACCCATTGTTTCAAGTGTTGCTGGTGTGTTATCCAGATTCTGGTTCAGATTTTAACTCCACACAAACACACACACAGATATATATATATATATATGTATAAATATATATGTATATATATATATATATGTATATATATATATATGTATATATATGTATGTATATATATATATGTATATATATATATATATATGTATATATATATATATGTATACACACATATATATATATATACTTAGATTACACACAACCATTTCAAATATCTGTTGTTTCCGTGTGTTAAAATCATTATAAATTTTCTGGTGGCTTTTGCCTCAATTCTTCGTAACCATTTACTAATCATTTACCATCCAATTTGCCAAATCCAGAACCCATGTAAACCACCCATATCATTCATTGTACTCATAAATGTTGATGAAACATAATGAACCCCCTACAAACTCCATGTAAATTAAACCCTATTAAACCCTATTAAACCCTATTAGACCCTATTAAACCCTGTTAAACCCTATTTTCTGCTGGATGTACAGCTTAAATCCCCTCTTTTTTTCCGTTACGGCCCGGGTTCCACCTGCGGTGAGCACCCAGAGCTGCAGTGAGATCACCGCGGGCATCGCCAGCGACGGCAGGGCCGCTTTCAGCGTCTGCTTCACCGCCAGCACTTCCTACGAAGAACGGTGAAGGGTCTGGGGATGGTGAAAGACGCAGAATATCTATCTTTCTATATTATATATACATATGTGTGTTTATAGTGTGTGTGTGTGTGCGCCATATATATTTATATAAATATGTATGTACATATATATATATGTATATATATATATATGTGTGTATATATAAATATATGTATATATATTATTATTATCATCATTATTATTATCATCATTATTATTATATATATAGTGTGTGTACCATATATATATATATATATACACATTATTTATATATATATATATGGAATGTAGTGCCATGTGGTGTAGCGTAATATGAACAAATCGATCGCTTGTGATGTAAAATGGATGTGTGTCTCTGCATGTAATCAGGCAAGGGCTTTGGCCCGGAAGTATCCAGGATGATTTTGGCACCATACTTTTGGAGCAGCCAGTGGGTAGATATATCTGGGTAAATTATAATATTTCACTAACCTGAAATGTTGGGCCATTTGGGGATGATTTCCCTTATTAACCATGATTCCAGTGAGGGAGAGCAGTGAGGGCGTTATAATTTACCCAAATATATATATATATATATCTATAATATACATATGTATGTCTTGGGATCAATTGGGCTGAACTGGACATAGAACAAAGAATGCGACCCAAAGAACGACATGATCAGAACGCTGTTAAGTTCTGAAAGAACGCATCCGACATGATCAAACCAAACCAACAATGTGATTTGGAACCCGGTTCCAACATAATCACTGCAATCTTTAGCCCTTCCATCTCAATCGTGTGTTTTTGTGTATGAAAAGGCACACCACATCTCCGCAAAATGTCGTCAATCTATTTATCACCACGGTTTTGTAATGTTTTGTAAATGCTGAAGGAAGAACAAAAAGACAGCGCAGCATGTTGCACTAGTATCCCCAAGAACCCCAAATCAAGATATTTGCTTGGAAAAAAACAAGTTGTGTACTGTTCAAAGCCTCTTCCGGAAAGAAGTGACAATCATCTTCAATCAACCCGGTAAGTTAACGAATGTGAATGACATAGTCAAACCATGTCAAACCCTGGCTCGAACTAATCAGTCCCTCCCATCACCAGCCGCCGCACCCGGCGAATCTGTGGCCAATCCAACACGCGGACGATTCGGCAGGCAGCGACGCATTCGATGAAGGCCTCGAAACCTGCCACGCAGGGCACCATTCTTATGGTGGTTCTGCCAACAAAACATGTGATTTATACTTAGATGGGCCATTGAGTTAGTTAACTAGTTAGTAAATGGATTATAATTGGGATATAGGGGGTTATATCCCCAGTTAGTTCATCCCATGGCCCATCTAAGTACTTGATGTTTGCCAAGTTGTTCCAGTTCACTACAGTAATGCAACATACTAACATACCGTAATATAAACGATGGGTTCGTGGCTGATATACCGGACTAGCTAGATCTCTCGTTTGTTGGTTTTCTATTCAAGTTGTTTCAACAAACTAACAAGTGCGATATACCTACCATCTACATCCATAAACCCTAGTCAACTTACTTGTAAACCAACATAGCTAAGTAAGGGGCCAGGCATCACCTTGTACAGATGTTTTTCATTGTTTTTCCCAAGTCTCCTGATGCAGAAAACCTGACCTCCCATCGCCAGTTCACTATTCAATCTGGTAATATGATATACCATCCCATAATTTAACATAGCTATTGAAAATTGCCATTTATAGTTGATTTACCAATTGAAAATGGTGATTTTCCATAGCTATGTTAGTTTACCAGAGGGTATAATACCCGACCAGATTTCAGTATCCACAAAATGGGAATCTGATGGGGGTTCAATCAACAATCCTACACAGGGGGGCTTAGCACATGCGACTGGTTAGGCTTGGGGGTTGTTTCAAGGTACAACATGTGGAAAACTGGATCCTTACAGATGTCTGGAAGTCACCAAGCAAATCGGATGTTCAATTTATGTCAACGGGTTGAGGCTTGAGGTCCGTAAATTGAAGGTTATTATATGCAAGGTCCATGCAATGCCTATTAACGGGAATATCCCTCCAAAATATCGCCGTCTATATGCTTCTTCGCAAAAGCAACTCAGCAAACAGTTTTCATTCATTGGATTGGTTTACAGGAAAATTTACTGGAAAACCCAGGCCCATATTTAATGTTAAAAACCATGGTTTCCTGTAGATTTTCCCTTAAACCAACCCAATGATTCATCAAGCGTCCATGCTCTCTCTATCAAAATTTCCACATGATTTTCCAGGGCCAGGGCCAAGGCTGGTCCAATTTGCTGCCAGGACAGGTGCATGTTTTATTTTTTTGCTGGTTGGTTTAATCCCTTAGGTTCGTCGGGATCATCATCCCATATGGATATATATGGATGACAATCAAAACATGAAACGACCAAGCAAGTATTAAAAATAGTGGCTGGTTGGTGGTTGACCTACCCCTCTGAAAAATGATGGAGTTCGTCAGTTCGTCAGTTCGGATTATTGTTCCCAACTGAATGGAAAGTCATAATCCATTCATGTTCCAGTCACCACCAACCAGTTATTATTAACAATCATGAACCATCATTAACCATCATTAACCCATAGACCATAGCTATATCCAGAACCAAATAACCATAGGACCAGGACGGTATATCCACCACGTCCAGCCAGTGGAAAACGAGGGACACCACGGGACCGCCGTTTGAAGGCACCTGGCAAACTCTCCTGTTTCGCCACACTCTGACATTGGAAGCGAATCCTGGGGGACACAAGCCATGGGTTTTCGATGATCAAACTACCCACTGGTTATGTCAACGTAGCTATTCAAAATGACCATTTATAGTTGATTTTCCCATTAAAAATTGTGATTTTCCATAGTTATGTTAGTTTACCAGAGGGTATTTCTTGGTTTCTTAAAATGGGGAATCACCATTTTAACCGAGGATTTCAATACTAAAAAAGTACTAACATGTTGATAAGGTTGGATGGTTTGGGGTACATATTCCGGTATTTCAGGACACCTCCAGATATCTATAATAAACACCCAAAGATAGACAAGTATTCAGTCTTCACTATTTTAGCGGGAACTTACGTTTCTAGTTTTTTTGGTTGCCCTAGTCCACCTAGTTATATATGTAAGCCAATATACAACAAAAATATTGGGGCTACCATGTTTTTTCATGGTGGATACCCTCCGGTAATTAAACGCCGCAATGAAACATCCCCAGTAAATGGAGATGTTTATGGGAAAAAACATCTATAAATGGTGGACCTTCCATTGCCACGGATTACCAAAGGATGCGTATATATATATATATACGTGTATGTATATATATATTTACATAATTATATATAATAATATATATATTATATACATTATGTCATTTCATCACCATAAACACTAGTTAGTTTAGCTATAGGCCAATTACATCGGGGTTACCTTCTGTTTTGGTATTGACTTTTTGAAGCCCCTCTCTCTCCATGCCCCTGTTTGGGCCGCCGCCAAGACTCCGTAAAAAGGTGGGGAAAAGGCACACAAAATCCACGATGCGCATTGGAGTGGTGAAAATACCTGCTGCTGCCCCAGTTTGACAAGTTGGTTTCTTAGCAAACATTTGAACATGATCTGGAAAAAAAAACCTGATAAAGCACTTGTTTTCGCGTTCCTACAATTACTTACATCATATTTCCATGTTTCTCACTTTTCTATCTATTTTGGGGTTGCCATATCTATACTTCTACAATTAGATGGGTTATGGGATACAACCATATACAACCTCTGCGCTGGAATGATACGGTGATACGATGATACCAGGAAGGCACGTGAAAATGGCATATGGCTGGCATTTCAAGAGCAAACACCAGCTCGAACTTTTGACATCTAAACTTGGTTTACAGATGGATGGAGGTGGTTATGGATAGATGGATAGCGAGATCAAGGGCATGTCCAGATCCAATCTGAAGACACATGTCATAACTACAATGAACATCTCACCCAGCAATTGCTGGCTACAGAATGATGTATGGAAGAAATACGCATATCATACTCATACAGTACTGCAATCGGTTGGATTGTCAACTTCTGCAACACTTTGCCCCGGTGAATCATGAAAGTCTTGCTGGCGCTGCTTTATCCAGTCTGAGTTTTGGCACACGCGGCAGGTTGCACAAGTAATTTGGCACATGCCTCTTATGGGCCGTGCTACTCAGTGCCCTGCATGCATGCATCATCATGCATCTCTTCAATTTTATCCAATCTGAATTTTGGTGCCTCTTTTGGGTGGCAGGGTGCACAAGTGATATTGGCACATGCCTCTTATGGGCCGTGTTACTCAGTGCCCTGCATGCATGCATCATCATGCATCTATTCAATTTTATCCAATCTGAATTTCGGTGCCTCTTTTGGGTGACAGGGTGCGCATACCTTTGATGGGCTGTGCTTATATAAGTGGATTCAGTTGTGGCCGTCCCATGCTTTCCACACCTTTCCACTACCTGCGTCTGCCAGGCCCCATCGAATGAGCCGGCCCACTTCGCCAATCTGCTGCAGGCTATCCATGGCATTCCACGTGGCAACAAGGCCTGATTTTGGATCAAAAATGAGCACCTGAAGCTTGGCATTGAAATCATCTACATCCTCAATTTTGCCAAGGATGAGTTCCTTGTCCTTTTCGGAGGAGGCACGCATGTCCCGTACGTCCAAATTTTCCAATGTTCGTGCGCGTTCTTGCAGTGTTGCTTTGGACAGCAGTTTCAATGACTGGTCCATCTGCAAACGTTTGGCTTCCGCAATCTCAGCCACACACCAGGCACGGCGGAACAAATCCAGAGATTTGTCCACTGCAATGACTTGTCTACATCCTCCAGTCGTTGCAAGAAGGCGCATCATGTCATCAAACTTGTTGATCTCTGACGAGGCACTTCGGCCATCGGTGTCAATGATGTTCGTGCTGCTGCAGTGGCACACTGGGTGCAGCTGATTTGTGAAAGGATCCCGGTCATACGGGTTGCTGTGGCAGATGCTGATGTGTTGGTTTACAGCAAAAGCACAAATCCAATAAGTGTCATCCAACCGACCCATCTTCGCCAGAAGGTCCTGCAGGAAAGCGCAATCCTCCTGCAGAAGTTGTGCTGGCAAACTGAAACTGCATTCCTGTAGAGCATCCGACAGCACTGCAGCCAGCAGGTCGCTGAACGAGTTGCCCCAATTGTGGGTTACCATGACCTGTGCCCGTTTCCGACCATCCTTGTTGAAAGCTGAAACTGAGAATGCACATTCTTCGCTGCTAGTCAATGGTATGATCGCTCTTCGGACCACATCTCTGGTCTTGTGTTCGTTGGGCACATATTTCCAATCTGGCATCAGAGGGAGGTTTTCTTGATAAAACTGCAGGAAGCTCCGCAAAGTCATCCCTCGCATTGAGAGTTCCTCCACCTTGCTGGTCCAGTTCACATCTTCATGCGAGATCTGTGTGTTTCTGCTATGCTCAGGGTTTTTGACTTTCCAGCTGCGTTGGCTCCGCTGACTCCGTTCAACCTTGGCCATCCTGTGACTGCCGGACAGAAGGAGAACGGCCACAGCATTTCCAAGGGCATCAAAAGCTTGGATAAAAAAGCAGACCATCACCAATGCCTCATTCTCCTCAATATAAACCGCAAGCATAGCAAAAACACGTGCTGGAACAAGCAGAAGCGTGAACACGAGGCTACATGATACACCCGCCCCTTGCAGACCAGCAAACCTTCGGGCTCGTCTCAAAGAAGACCTTGCGGAGATGGACGCCTCATTGGTTTCTGCCAGGCGACAAATCCCCCGCAGCTCCAAAAAAGACTCTCGGAAAGAGCAAATGGCCACTATGCTAGCTGCAACATTGCACAGCAATGTGATGCCTCCTACTGCGCACAGACTGAACAGACCTGTGAGGAAAACAATGCCGAGGTTGTTATTAATCCTGTGGGTGATCCCATAGAAAATGACCGCAATGGGAAGCAAAGCCATTGCTGCCCCAAAGACTTGGGCCCACATCAGTGTGCGAAAGTGGATGCTGTTGTAGTCCCGATTAGAGGATTGCTCCAAGAGATCCAGCCGTGAAGCGATGAGTGTCTGCATCCAGAAGGAAGCAGCGAGATACAGCAGCAATCGACAGCATGCAAGCCCGGAATACCAAATTTCACCTCCGAAGGCTGGGCCTGGTATCACTCCATACCTGCAAACCCCTTCACCTAGACTGTTCATTCCCAGTGAGCCCAACATGGCTTGAATCCAGTTGACTATGGCATAGCCACACGCCCACTTTGTATGACCTGAAGCTTCAGCCCTTCTCACGAGAAAGGCTGCTACACAGCCGGCTCCAAAACTCGACAGCATCAGCCCAAAGAAGAAGAGCCGCGTCTTGAGTGGACAGGGAGGAGGATCTTCCGATGTGTTGTCATACAGGCCGTAGTTCCAGCCATGAGGATACTCAATATCGGCAGGCCACAGCAAAACACTCGCAGTGGCATTGATCACAAAGACCAGCACGTACGATCGGGGCAACCATCTGGAGCAAGGTTTTTGGACCGATGGATCTCCTGAAGACTTTTCAGTCTCCGAACTTGCAGAGCTCGCATCAGAACTCGCCAAACTGGAAATGGTCATGGAATGTCATAGAAGTGAAACAAGAAAACAACCCAAATGGCTGCAAATGGCTGCAGTATCGATGTGATCTCTCGTATCTCCCTCAAAGAAATAGACGCGTCCACCTCTAATATTCTCAGAGGCTTAACAAAAACAGATTCTAGATTTTCCAAACCTCTCAATATGCATTTCATCGAAATCTCTTTTGTTTTGAACTTTCGATCTTTAGAGGTCACATTGACGTTTCAGAGTTGGTCAGAACAAATGTCAATTTTCTGTTGACCAACCCACCCTTTTGTAGTTGAAACGCCTGCAAATGTTGTTTAAAAATTGGTGTTCAAGACTGGTCAAATCTGAAATTCCAACTAAAACATTGCTAATCTTAGAGACCCTGAGAGAAATCCACGACGGTTCGTCTCTCGCCCATTTCAATGGCAAACACATGCTCACAAAATGCCAAGGTTTACAACAAATTTACTACTGAAATCACCATGTCTGTTGGTCAAATCAACATTTATCACCGGTTAAATCTTCTAAAATCATCATTTCTGCTAATGTGGGTAAAACAATGCCGTAAACACACCATCCCCCAGTCATCAGCATTTTTATAGGTGCTATGTTTACCATTCCCAGTCATGGGCGGTAAAGTCATGGCGAGCTGTTTTACCCACATGATTCATTAATAACATTTAATAACTATATCATATCACATTCATCTCCGATCCCATTCATATACCATTGATATTCATGAAAACCATATATGGAAACTTGGCATTCGCATATTCAACAGTATTCAACCATATGAATCCATGTGCCATTATAATGTACCACCCATATATTCATTAACCATTCGTATACCATTTATATACCCTCTGGTAAACTAACATAGCTATTGAAAATTGCCATTTATAGTGGAATATAGTGGATTTTTCCATTAAAAATTGTTAATTTTCATAGTTATGCTAGTTTACCAAAGGGTATACCATTCATATATGGGTACGGTAAGTTTTAATGGCACCAGACTGACGGATGGCCCATTTTTTGGCCAAAAAACCCATGGGCTTGGCCACCAGGTGCAGGATGAACTCGATGCAGAAGATGGTGCCCGTAATCTAGGCAGGCGATTCCCTAGGAAAATGGAGGTTTGAATGGGAAAACCATAGGAAAACCATAGGAAAATGGAGGTTTGAATGGGAACACCATAGGAAAACCATAGGAAAACCCATAGGAAAACCATAGGAAAATGGAGGTTTACCCTCTGGTAAACAGCCACGAACAACTATGGACAGATCCCCTTTTTTGTAGCTGGGTAAATCCACGACATTTCGACTGGGCCATTTTTAATAGCTTTTTGTATGTTTACCAGAGAGTATATCCAACAATAACCCAGTATGATCCCATCATTATTCCGTTAACATCCCTATTAAACCATATTAAACCATAGCAAACCCATTAAACCCATGGATATGTTAGTTTACCAGGCCGGGCAAGTGGTGATATACGACATAATGGAGGTGTCAAAGATCAGCAGGAACCAACTGAGACGATGTCTTCACAGAATAGCTGGCTCATGGCATACCAGTATGATCCAATACCCTCTGGTATACATACAAAAAGCTATTTGAAAATGGCCATAGAAATAGTGGATTTACCCAAAAAAAATTGTGATTTTCCATGATTATGATTTTTCATGGTTATGTTAGTTTACCGGAGGGTATATGGCCTGGCATCTCTTCAATTTTGCTATAGCAACACCACAAATTTTAAAGCATTCCGAACGCCAAAACAAACTTGACATCTATTCACGATTGGAACAAAGCTAAACTGAAATTTGCTATTGATTATTTTATCCCAATAGTTGAGTGCATGTCATTGGTTAGCGTCAATGGTTGCTAGAAAATGAACACATTAATCTAGATCAATTAGTTAGACATCATAATTGAATTGTACCCATAATGCCCATGGGGTGGCATATTGACCTTACATTTCACCTATGAATCACACAGTTTCGCAAGTAAATCTACGAGCCCCATGGACAGTGTAGGATAGTAACTCACCACTGTTAGATTAGTTCTATTAGTTATATGTTATATATATACACATTTATATATACACACCTCTTTTAGGTGGATGTTACATGCTTTTTGAAAATGATTTAACCGCGGATGCCCTGCCAAATAGGTAGCATCAAAAAAACATATCCTCAATTTAATAAATCTTGACTATCAATCGGGGAGATGATCCCAAACACAGTTTTCCAAAAATTATGAACAGAAATCAATAGAATTCACACATCCCCCATGAATAAACCCCGAAATCATGTGTTAAAAAGGCCGTGTTTTTTCGGCCCCTGAAAAGCTCGAAGAAACAATTTCCACCAGCGTCAACACGAAGCGCACCTGGATATGGGGCATCCCCGGTGTTTTTGGTGACGAAAACAGGTGATTTTGCTGTGAATTTTTGAGACTGCAACGAGATTCATATAATATGCTGGGGTTTATGATGGTTTCCTGGTGAAACCATAAAATAACACCAATAGATAATCTGGGGGGGGTTATAAAATCAACCATCATGGAGATATATGGGGGTCTTAAAGGATATAACCAACAATGTGATAGCCGGGCTTGTGAAGATAAGGGCAATGCCCCAGAGTTGCCATCCAAATGGAAAACAATATAGCACACCATTGAATGCTGCGTACCTGAATTATCTCCGGACAAACATGGAAACAACTCATTTATAATTCGATAATGTCTGAGGTAAAACCCTGCTTTCTGAACTGACCAAACAAGCTTGATCCAGTCAACATCACTTGCCCAAAACTTCTGATCAATACTGATTGTCAACGATGACTGGCCATCAAATATGAGTATATTTTACATGTATAGTCTAATTATACTTATAGTTATTTACATATACAAGTATATATATATATATTATAAATGTAGATCCGAATAATTCAATCCAGCTAGTCTGTTCTTTCTGATCATCAAAATAAGTGGGTTAAACCATTGCCGAGGCACGCTAACTTACCAAACAAATATCTACATATACAAAGAGAGAGATATATATATATATACATATCCATAGAGTAACCCCCAAGTAAATAGAACGTATGAGTATAATCTACTTGGGGTTATTGACATGGTGTTGCATAATCTTAGATCCTCTTAGAGCAACGCTGAACAACAGCGGTTTGCAAGTGTTGCATGCACTACCTATTGATAGTTGATTTATAGTTGATTTATAGTTGATTTGCCATGATTTACCTATTAGAAATGGTCTGGTTGGTGGTATACCTACTCCTCTGAAAAATATGAGTTCGTCAAATGGGATTATTGTTCCCAACTGAATGGAAACATAAAATTCATGTTCCAAACCAGCAACCAGATAATCATATATAATAATGGGTATATTAAGCCCTGTATGAAAAATGGATTGATGACCATTCCCCAAGGACTGGGTATGGTGTATCATCCAACTTGTCAGCAAATGGTTGATATATTCGTCATCCCCCTAATATTAAACACCATCCAAACACCATGCTTTATTCAGGGATACAAACACATATTTGGGACCATACAATGGGGGGTGTTGAATATTCGGGGGATGGGATTAGTCCATTCCAATCCCACTATATCCCATTGTATTCCATTAAGTCACCAGTATAATCCCATTAAACCACCATTCTAATCACCAGTATTAAATAAGCCCATTGTATTCCATTATATCACCATTATATGCAATATTCCCTAAAAATCAAAATCCCAGGAGCTCGTGAAATTTAATATCATTATAATCACCAGTATTAAGCCCATTTTCCATAGTTTTTGGATGTCTTTTCTCTACCAGGGGCTAAAAATTCTCGGGGCCTCGGATCCACTGGCTTCCACTTCGGGGATGGATTCCAACCTTCGGCCATGGCGGCCATGGGAGGATGGCAAATCCAGTTGTGATTTACATGGGTGAAACATGATGGAACCCATAGAAAATCATGGAAAATGAATGGAAAATCATAGAAAATCATAGGCATCTAATGGAAAATGCATTGAAAATGAATGGACATGATGTTGGTGTTGAATTCGCGTGGCTTTGAACATATCCATCTTTTTGTTTCCTGACGAATAATTACAGGTGGGTTTGAAAACGGCACGGTTTGGCAACAGAGGCAACGTCGCACCAAATCCATGGACCCTGTTTTTCAGTACTCAACCTCCGCAGATCGGTGACCACCAAAGAATAGTGGCATCATAGGGCGGGTCACCATTGGGGGGGTTGAATCCTTAGGAATTCTGGACTTAAATTGCAACACAGGGGATAAACTTTAGTTCTTGGTGCCGTGGCCTTAAATCAACTGTAGACATGGGACGAATGGCTTATGGTCACCATCATGAATGGTATTCCTTACAATGGGTATCTTAACATCTATTTATGGTGGCCATCCCCTTGTGCTAATCCAACCTTGCGATGGGAAATCCATATAATTAGAATATTCCTTGTTATAAGACTCCATTTCAATGGATTTCTCACTATGATTAGGCAATTTCCCATCACTTGTAGAGTTAAAATAGGGCTTTCCCAATGTTTTTCAATGATCTCCCACCACTTTCAATGGATTTCCCACATTTTTCAACCACTTTAAAGGTAAAACGTGGCTGACCCTTGGCCCATCGTGCGTCGCGCAGCATGGTGTTCAAGATGTTGACCAACAGCGCCGCTTGGGCTAACGTCATGAAGACGCGGCCCACGGAGGTCTGGCACTGCAACAGCCCTGGGCGGAAACGGAGGGTGAATGGACATATGCATGATTGCTTTCACTATCCAGATGTGTCCATCTCCATCTCTCAATCAATATATACATATATAAATATATATTATATTTATATATGTAAATATATACATGTATGGTATGCAAAAATGTGTGTGTGTGCATATAGATATATATATATATATATATGCATGTGTGTGTATCTAATCTATCTTTTCTAATTATCCGTAATTACAGTATATGGCATATCTCCAATATGTCCAATTATGTATGTCTATATGCATATCATCATATCAAAAACATGTATAAGGCACCTACATATTCATGAATGTGTTTCAATAGAGTTTCACAAAAACTGGGTTGGTGGATGCTATCAATCTCGCTGGAAGACCAAATCATCTGGTTTTGATCATCCGGGCATTTCTTGTGATGTATCAACACACCATTAAAAAAAAAATCTACAAGGCAGTGCCAACCCCTCAGTTGTAAGTTGGTTCACAACTCCACCATAGGACCTTAGGGATATCTACCCTAACCCCCGGTTATGATAGTTATAACAACTCAGCTAAGTAGGAACACCACCTTGTAGAGAACGTTCATTCTCTTTTTTAAAATTGTATTTTTCCTCTCTCTCAAGTGCCATCGGCAGAGTCCCTCACGGAGAGAGGCCACTGTCGTCACGTATTCTCTCTCTCTCTCTATCTCTCTCCATCGTCACCTATTTTGTTACTAGTAATTTGTAAAATGAACAAAACAAGTAACTGATAATCACATGTAGCACTTTAATATCATTCCCATTTTAGGTAAATAATGTTGCTCCTAAGGCACACCCTTCTTTGTGAGCTATTCAGGTACCAACCAAAATTGATGGTACATGACTCATTTATGAACTGCCTATGGAAGCCGGAAGCCTCGTCTAATCTGTAAGGAATATGTCGAGACAATCATTGTCTTGTATAGATTTGTCTAGCATTGTATAGCACAGTACCTCGATCGTAGGTACCCTCTGCAAGCATTTCCTTGTACTTACTTAGATGTACGTTGTATTTCCACTTGTCTGCCATCTTCACTTGCAGCATCTCACTAATGTTTTGACAGCTGACTGACAACCGATGCCATCTGTACTGCAAATTATTAGTCATTCATTCAGGAAGATCGTGATTGAACCTTCGGGATTCCAGCGAATTTTCCAGAGGCTACACTACAAACAATCTTCAGAATATGGCGATTTGGTTGTGAGGATGTATTTTTCACACATGTAAAAACAAACATGAACAAACGATGTGTTCCATAGATCCTGTTCGCCAAGTCGTTCTATCCAGCCGTCGCCCATTATAGGCGACGTGAAATGAGCCGCTTAGCCATCTCAACTTCATGACGACGGGTCGGTTGGAATCATCATCAATATGAAACAACACCATTAGAATAACATAGCCAACTGGAAAATCCCTACCATAAATGGAGGTTTCTAGCTGGGAAAATCATTTGTGAATGGGCCATCTATACCATAGCTATGTTGATATAATGTGGTTATAACAATGTCATAAACTACCCATGTTTGGGAATGGTAAGTCTATACCACCTACAAAAATGGTGATGACTGGGGTTTGTTTTGACCACATTAGTAGGGTAGCACTATAGTATTAACATCAGAATGAGCAATGCATAGTTTATGACGTAAAGCCAAGGATAAGCAAACCATTTGAGGGATTGTTTATGGTTTTGGCTTCACCACAAAAGATATTCGGAACCGCCAAGCATCGGCGTGCTGCCTTCTTCATGCTCAACTGAGTCAGCGCGGCCAGTTTTGCCAAGAAAACATGGGAATATAGTACACACACAAAAACCCTTACATTTACATTGCATTCACATTACATTTACATGTACAATTGCATTTACATACATATTTTATAAAAATGTGATTGTAATACATACATTTACATACATATTTTACATTTATACTACATATAAAAATACACGTTATTTTATACAACACAATCTACTGACACTATAAACGGCTACTCATTGGTTTTTTGAACCCAACCCGCCCAAAGGTGACTCCAACAATATTGGGTTTATTTCGGGGTTAACCACCAACAACCATCATTCACAATATATTATATAATATTTACTATATAACATACATATATATAATTTAACATACATAATATATAATATAATATATATAACATAATATATAGAATATATATAATATATAAATATATATACAAAATATATATATATATATACAATATACAATATATAATATATACAATATATAATATATACAATATACCATATATATATATATATATGGGTAAATTATCTTAATTCACTAACCTGGAATAAGGCTGTTGTTGCACGTTGTCATGTTGCCGATTCCCCTTACTAAGCATGATTATAGTGAGGTCGCAGTGAGGTCGTTATAATTTACCCAAATAATCCCAAATATACGTTTATTATACCACACCCCCTTCAACCAAAGAATCTACGAAGAACTTCCTTTGAGGGTACCTCTGCATGTGTGATTATGGCGATATGTATATATATATATATAGAGAGAGAGAGTGAGTGTATCCAAAAGTCATTTAATGATAAGGATTTTTCAACGTAAACATTGGAAACAAACAACTGGATATTAGTCAAGGGACGAAAGGAATCTGATGGGATCTTTGTCACATTCTGAGAAGGTTGGACAGCCATTAGGCGCCATGTCCATCGATCACTACCTCTACTCCATGAATCGAGTACTTCGATTCCTCCTTTGGTGAAGTGGTGATTATGTGGATTGCAGCACCATCTTCATTCGCATAATAACTGGTTGGTGGTTTCAATCCCTCTGAAAAATATTAGTCAATGGGGAGGATTATCCCATATATTATGGAAAACTGGAAAATAAAAAATGATTGAAACCACCAACCAGATAAAGAAATCTACAAAACATGCAAAAAATACCCAACAGAAACCACATAGAAACCACAGAAAACCCTATACACTCTGGTAATTTAACATAGCTATTTGTTTTTTTTTGCCATTTATAGATGATTTACCCATTAAAATGATTCTTTTCAACAGCTATATTAAATTACCAGTGGGTACTGGCCAGATTTCTATCCCTAGGTTTCCCACTTTTCTATCTTTTGGAGGATTGCTAAACTATAGGTATTCAACAGGTAAATGTTTACCCTCTGGTAATTTAACATAACTATGGAAAATCACAATTTGTTATGGGAAAATCCACTATAAATGGTGATTTTCCATAGTTATGTTAAATTACCAGAGGGTATAATGGGAAAATCATCAGCGGACTTGTTCATTTCCACGTGCGATTACCAAAGGGTCTTCAACTACAGATTTCGATCCAAGAAACAGCACCACCAAATACAAATACCCTCTGGTAATTTAACATAGCGATGGAAACTGGCCATAGAAATAGTGGATTTACCCAGCTATAAAATGGTGGATCTTTCCATAGTTTTTTGTATGTTTACCATTGCGGGTAAACCTCCATTTTCCTATGGTTTTCCTATGGTTTTCCCCCTTGTAATTGGTGTGTTCTCCCTAGATTTGACCAAGGATTCAATGTTCACAGATTTTCGCGATCCAAGGATCAGCACCCAGTGTGAACCAGCACACTGAAACCAGGTAGGTTAGTGACGGTTCATAACCCCTTTCCACCATTTTACCAACAACTGGTAGGTTTTTTTGACAGTTCAACAACTATATAAAATCCCCAAACAAATAATCCAAATGTGTTTTGGTTTCAAAAACCAAGAACTCAAACAAAACTATCATTGAATCAAACCAAAAAAACAACAGGCATGGAGTGGACCAACCATGTCAACATCAAAAAAAAAAGTGGTGGGTGTGGGGGCAGAAGGAGATCGATGAATTGGTTGGATCCCAGTGATCCAGCAAAGTCCGGAAAAAAAAAAAAAAAACAATCGAAGCTTCAAGGTGTCCGTGAAAATTGGAGTAAATTTCACCAAGGCAAATGAAGGTTAATGATGGTTAATAATGGTTAATAATGGTTAATAGTTGTTAATCATTGGTTAATAATTGTTAATAGTGGTTAATAGTGGTTAATAGTGGTTAATCATTGGTTAATTATGGCTGGTTGGTGGTTGAGCCACCTACCCCTCTGAGAAATGATGGAGTGAAAGTCAGTTGGGATGATGACATTCCCAACCAAATGGAAAGTCATAAAATTCATGTTCCAAACCACCAACCAAATTAAGTATCCATAAGGAAATATAAGTATCACCATCATATGGATGGGTGTAATATCTTTGGGATTACCAAAACTATTCCCAGTATAGGTATTACGTATGGATCTAGAAATCTGAGACCTATTACTATATATATATAGATAGATCCCAGTAATCCAGTATAGGTAATACCTTTTGAGATTTCAATCTCTATAAGTAATATCTCATATTACAACTATTAACCACCATTATTAACCATTATTAACAACTATTAACCACCATTATGGCTGTTCCAAACCACCAACCAGCCAAAAGTCAGCTCAACCCCACCATTTCTGACACCGCCGCGCACCTGGCTGTAGCGCGGCCCCTGCGGCGGCAGCGCACGCTGTCGCCGCAGCCGGAAGCGACGCTGCAACAGACTCACCTCGGCGTCCGGAGAAAAAAAACCACGGTGGTTGATGTGGTTTATATAACAACCACTACCATCTGGTTATATAACAGTTTGCCATGGAAAAAAATAATAAGCACTATGTAATAATATGGATACCATCTGGTTATTTAACAGTTAGCCATGGAAAAACACCAGTTTTAATAGGTAAACCCAGGTAAACCATCTATTTCTATGGGCCATCTATAATAAGCACTATCAATGGATTGGTTTAAGGGAAAATTTGCAGGAACCCCCCATCTCGCATAGGAAAAAACATTGTTTCCTGTAGATTTTCCCTTAAACCAATTCAGTGACAATATGTAATAATATGGATAATATGGAAAACATAGTTGGTTTTTAGATAATAACACTGTGGTTAATAAGGGATAAGATAACCATATAGTATACATATTTAACTAGTGATAACCACTATGTAATAAGGGATGATATGGATAATGGTTTGTTAGATAAATGTTTAACATAGTTGGTATAACATCATATTTACCACTCACATATTTAATAGGGATAAGATGGTTAACTTAGTTTATATGGTTTGTTAGTTGATATGAAACCATGTGAAAGCATATGAAACCACCTTTGATGGGCAATGGTCTGTTAGTTGATATTAGGTTTAGTATGGTTTTTCATAGGAATTAGAATGGGATAAACATGGGACAATAATGGTAATCACTAAAGTACTGGGATAATATGGGGTAATATTGGGATATCAATGGGGGTAATCACTATAGTCATATACTGTCATAATATGTAATAATCACAACTCTACTTAGACCATGCCTTTTTAGTGAAGTATAATAATACATTTATAGTATTGTAAATGGACCATAATTGGGATACCTTGTGGTTTGTAAGCCAGCTACGATCACCAGGAATGGCTAAAAAAGGCCAATCTATCAAAGGGGGTTGCCGGAAATCAAGGGGGTTGCTGGAAAAAAAAAACAAAACAGTACATTAAATGGGTAAAAGAATGGGCAAATCACCAAAGATAGTGGTATATCATAGGTATCAGGACATTTTAGGGGTTAACAAGATTTGATAAGTACCATTAAGTACCATTCACATGGGTTGATGATTGATAGCCCCTTAATATGGATCTTTTTTTGGGGGGGCACACTGGTTCCTATGATTAAATCCACTGGTTCATCATCGTTCTCCTCATCAAATAGTTGGACAAAGCCTCAAATTCTGATGGAATACGGGATTTTGCAGGTAAACCTGCAACATTGAGGTTTCTGCAACTTTTTGAGGCTTTCAATTGCAAGGAATTCTGTTCAAGAGCCTCCTCCATGAACGTAATCCACAATGGCCTGGGAAAGAAACCCATTGATAATATATATATATATAGATCAATAAATAAGGCATAAGATATGAAAACATATGAAAGTATGACATGCCAAAATGGCTGGTAGCCAACTTGGCCACTCCAAAAGCAAAGCAATGGCTTTTTCCAATCGCAACGATGCCACCGCGGTGTCCCATTGGGGTTCCCCCGCGGTGACCTCAAGTAGCCATATTACATATAGTAATGCAGTAAACCCAATAACAAACCTACCATTTGAGGATGATGGTTACAACCCATAAAAATGGTGATGGGGATGGTTTATGATTGGATTTACCACATTTTTCCTCATTCATGGCTAAGTCTTAGATTTCTGTTGATAGAAACAAGAGCAAAACATTCGCATCAACCCCTTGACCAATAGGGGCCGTTGAACCTCTATTATTGTTGGGCAGGAACCCTTCTGATTCCAATATTTGTTCCCGTTATTGGATCGATGATTGTTAATATTACGGTTATTGTTTCAAGTAAGATGATGATGTCCATTATGATTATTTGTGCATGTATGATCATGTATGCATATTGGCACACATTCCGGACAAAAAGGAAGTATGTAGCCCTATTTACAATCCAATTGAAATATACCGATACCCATTAACTATGCCCCCTTGTTGCGGTTCCAGTATTTTCTAGCCCGTTTGCGAGGGTGAATTCTCCATTCTCACAGACTCAGTGTCCGCAATGCCATCCATTTGTGAGTGAATTCTGCATTTTTTGTTGTGGCTGAATGATTCACATTAAAACCCCATACAAATGCCATTAATCCCACATGAATCCCACCCACACACACACATATATATATATAGAGATATATAATGTGTGCGGGTGTGTATCTATTCCCATTAAAATCTATATATATATATATATCCATATATAATCCTCATTTTAAAGCATAGGAATATCAATGTCAACTTCTGAAATCCCATTAAATCCAGATAAATCTCATGATAAATCCCATTATTAAAATACCCTCTGGTAAACTAACATAACTATGAAATCACCATGTTTCATGGGAAAACTCACTATTTCTATGGCCAAATTATAGCTATTTTGACATGACCAGGCCGGGTATTCCACACGTTTCGCCGTTTCGAAATCCCAGGCACCGCCATGGCCATGACGCGCAGCCGCTCATCCTTGGCCTGCTGCCGTTCCAGCGCCCGCTCCGCGCCCAGGTACTCCACAAAGCCACCCGCAAAGATGCCAGTAAAGGTGCCTGGAGCTGGGAAAATACCAAAAAAATCCTGAGAAAAGCGTGGGGAAAAACAGAGAAAACCGGATTTTGGTGAAAAGCTGGAGAAAAAAAACATGTGAAATTGTAGGAAAACTTGAGAAAAGGCAACAAATTAGAAAAATGAGGAAAACCTTGGGAACACCAGTGAAAATTTGGAACTTTTTGGGAAAACCTTGGGTTATTTTTGTTGGACAACCCAACGGAGAACTTGGAGAAACCTTGGGAAACCTCTAGGAAAACTAGGGGAGCTTTTGGAAAAGCTGGAAAACGTGTGGAAAACTGCTGAATTTGGGGGGCAAACCTGGTGAAAACCTCGGGAAACCTTGGTAAAACCTGGGGGAAACCCGGTTAACCATCGAATTTCAATTTGATATGTTCCATTGTAACCACGCCTGGTTGGTGGTATACCTACCCCTCTGAAAAATATGAAAGTCAGTTGGGAGTATGATTCCCAATATATGGAAAATAATGTTCCAAACCACCAAACAGGATATGTTCCGTTGTAACCACGCATGTTTCAAAATCGTCAGTAACTAATCAAAGCTCATCAACTGGAGGTTTCGACACTGCTCAAATACAACCGGCCGAAACCGCTACACTACTCGTGATTGAGTAAAGGCGCCGGTGCAGCACATGCCGAGAATCAAGAACACCTGAACGAGCAACGGGAGCTGTTCCCTTTCTGATGTTTTCCAGCTGGTGCAAACATTGAGATTCAATATTGTCAACATATCGCAAAGGACGGTGTCGAAGATGCAGGGCTTTGCTACCTATCCTAAATATATCTAAATATGCTTGCGGTGTTTGGATTATCGAACTAAAGGGTGTATAAACACCACTGCAGCAGTTTCAATTTGAAGCCATCCCGGAAAAACAAACCTTTCGCTCATTTGGGGTGCAGTTTGTTTGGACACCATCATCCTTGAGTTTCCACAAAGGACACTGATGGACACTGTACATACCCTGAATTGTTGAGGACTGAGAACCAACAAACACCAAACCCCCGCCCCCCAAAGAAACATGCACCCATTATGCTAGCAACCCCCAATGTGATGCCATACACCTAACATGTGGAATGTTTGTTACCTATCAACGTGGATGTCTCCAAAGAAAACTATATACAGATGTTTCACATGTTTTGATCTCCAAATATGAGTGTTCTTCCAGATGTTCCCTTCAACCGCCATCCCAAGGCCACGCCCGGGCACCACGTGAAAAGGCATAGAGATGCTGCGGTAATCCGTGCAGGGATAATCCTCGGTGCGCAAGGATTCTGAATTTTCTCCCATGTTTTGGGGAGAAGTTCTGGAGCACAACAAATTGTGGTTGGTGGTTTCAACAACTATTGGGGAAAATCATCTAAATGTTCCAAACCACCAACCAGAAATTGTGCTGTTCTATGGTTTTCTTTATCTTCCGGGATATAATCCCATAGAAAAGAACAGAAATGATCCAATTGTTCCGGGAAGGATACGAATGACTCCAGTAAAAAAATGAGAATGTATCCAGCATGTTGTTTTTAACCCACGACGAAGTCAGATGTATCCAGCAAAGCATGCAGAGTTAAGCAGCTTTTGAGCTCAGATGCAAAATTTCAGGAACATGTTCAAGGATCCGTGTCTCGGTATTTGAGCTACCCAGCCGGACAGTTGCTAAAAAGGAAACCCGTTTTCATGAAACTCGAAGTCTGGGCCCATGTTCAACCAGAAACCAAGGATTTCCATTTATTTTTCGTGGGAAGTGGCTAAAACTTAAGTTTTCTTCCGGATATGAATCATGATTTGTAGATGCCATGGATAATTTGATGGTACATCATCTAGCAAGGGATGCTGGCCGTCAAAAAGTTGCACCAACTCTAACCATATGTGCGGTGGTCAAAACACGGTGAAAGCGTTGCATTATTACTTCCTGGAGAAGAACAAACTATATAATAATTATACATAATAATGTGTACATTAAGCCCTGTATTGAAAATGGATTGATGACCATTCCCCAAGGACTGGGTATTATGGTGTATCATCCAACGTTTTAGCAAATGATTGATGATCTATTTGTCATCCCCCTGATATTAAACACCATCCAAAAACCATGGTTTATTCAGGGATACAAACACATATTTGGGACCATACAATGGGGGGTGTTGAATATTCGGGGGATGGGATTAGTCCATTCTAATCCCACTATATCCCATTGTATTCCATGAAGTCACCAGTATAATCCCATTAAACCACCATTATAATCCCATGATATTCTATTAATTCACAAAATCACCATTATAATTTATAATCCCATTAAACCACCACTATAATCCCATGATGTTCATTTATTTCCCATTATTTCATGAAACCATTGTAATCCCATTAAACCATTTATCACCATAATCCCATTAAACATATTAAACCACCATTATAATCCCACTAAATCCCAATGTATTCCATTAAATCACCAGTATAATCCCATTAAACCACCATTTATATCACCATAAAATCACCATTAATCACCATAAAATCACCATAAAATCACCATAAAATCATCATTAATCACCATAAAAACACACCATAAAATCATCATAAAATCATCATTAATCACCAAAAAACCACAATTAATCACCATAAAAAACACACCATAAAAACACAATTAAACCACCATAAAATCATCATAAAATCAAAAAATCACCATTAATCACCATAAAATCACCATTAATCACCATAAAAGACACCATAAAAAAACACCATAAAAACACAATAACAATCACCATAAAATCATCATAAAATCATCATTAATGACCATAAAAACACCATTAATCACCATAAAAACACCATAAAATCACCATAAAATCACAATAACAACACAATTAAACCACCATAAAATCATCATTAATCATCATTAATCACCATAAAATCACCATTAATCACCATTAAAAAACACCATAAAAAACACCATAAAAACACAATAAAAATCACCATAAAATCATCATAAAATCATCATTAAACACCATAAAAACACCATTAATCACCATCAAAACACCATAAAATCACCATAAAAACACAATTAAACCACCATAAAATCATCATTAATCATCATTAATCACCATAAAATCACCATTAATCACCATTAAAAAACACCATAAAAAACACAATAAAAACACAATAAAAATCACCATTAAATCATCATAAAATCATCATTAATCACCATAAAAACACCATTAATCACCATAAAGAAACACCATTAATCACCATAAAATCACCATAAAAACACAATTAAACCACCATAAAAACACCATAAAATCACCATAAAATCACCATTAATCACCATAAAATCACCATTAATCACCATAAAATCACCATAAAAACACAATTAAACCACCATAAGAACACCATAAAATCACCATAAAATCACCATTAAATCACCATTAATCACCATAAAATCACCATTAATCACCATAAAATCACCATACAAACACAATTAAACCACCACAAAAACACCATAAAATCACGATAAAAACGCAATTAAATCACCATAAAATCACCATTAATCACCATAAAATCACCATTAATCACCATAAAATCACCATTAATCACCATAAAATCACCATTAATCACCATAAAATCACCATAAAAACACAATTAAACCACCACAAAAACACCATAAAATCACGATAAAAACACAATTAAATCACCATAAAATCACCATTAATCACATAAAAACACCATATCTTTTCATCCCATTGTCACATCCACAGAGACGAGGAATCGAACAACGAGACACTCCGGTGAGGTGAATCAAGCCATGGGGCAAACCCACCTGCAGCTGCAAGGGCCCACGTCTGACGTTTTTTTTTTTTTCGACATGTTCACAGGACAGAATCGACATGTTCAGTGGTTAATAGTGGTTAATAGTGGTTGATAATGGTTGATAATGGTTGATAATGGTTAATGAAATATCTTATATCCCATGACGGATCCATGGTGCTATATATGGTGCTCCATGGATCCCATGAATATACCCCATTCATGTTAGCATATATACCAGCACCATGGATCCGTCATGGGATATGGAAATGATGGACAACATATGGAAAATGATGGTTAAATGATGACACATGGAGATGATGGAAATTGAATCATATTGAACAAAACATGGGAAACTATGGAACAGATATGGAAATGATGGAAAAAAACATTTCCAAGTTGAATCATATTGGAGAAAACATGGAAATGATGCGGAAATTATGGAACACATATGGAAACATAGACAGGACAACATCTGGGAAAGTATGAACATAATTTTCCAATAACACACATATGAGCACATATGGACAAATGTGGGAAATGATGGAAACATAAATAGGATATGACAATACTCAAAATGCATTCGATTTTACATATTGACGCGAGCGAAACTGTCATTGCAATTTTACTGCTGAATATAGGATCACTGGTTGGTGATTTTAACCATCTTGAAAATATTAGTCAATGGGAAGGATTATCCCATATATTATGGAAAATAAAACATGTTTGAATCACCAACCAGATTAATATTAATAAATGTGTTTGTTCAAAGATCTGAGATACCTCAAAATTGCAATTACAACATGGAACATGGACCTACCGATCGAAGGTTGACCCAAATTGGTATTTCTCGAAATTGGGAACCCTCAAAACCACAGAGCCACAGATTTCTTACCAAGATGTAAATATCTATTAATTGCTAGTGACCGATATAACCCGCAACAAATGTGTGTGCGGTCGCGATATCTATGTGGAAAAAAACGTGCTCAATTAATTTCTAGTAACACCGGAAAATTCAGAACAGCTGTTGACAATTCTAGAAGGACTTTATGCCAAATTCTACCCTCTGGTAATTTAACATAGCTATTGAAAATGGACCATTTATGGTGGATTTACCCATTAAAAATGGTAATTTTCCATAGTTATGTTAGTTTACCAGAGGGTATCTTCCATTGCTTGGTATTTATCCGGAACAAACAAGTACAAGCCGCTTGATGCCCCTTCTGTGCTGGATTTCCGATGAGGGGAAAACGAGACTCAGCAAATCCAAGTTGTATAAGTTGCAACCAACTTACCCTCTGGTAAACATACAAGAAACAATGGAAAATCATTATTGTTCATGGGAAAACTCACTATTTCGACTGGGCCATTTTCAATAGCAAACTGTTAGTTTCAATTGACTCACCAGAGGGTAACCAATTGGGGTGTTATCTTTTGTTGGGGGTTGCTGAAACTACGGTCATCCACAACTTTCCGAAACCGCGCACCAAGACGTTTTCAAAGCGCTCACCAACTTCTCCCCCGGAATCCTCAACAAAAAGGTTGGCCAATGAAGGGACAAAAAATGCCAAAACTGCGCCAAAAAGGGTTGGAAATCAACGGAAAATCAATGGAAACCCTGGGTTCATCAGTCATTTTTTTTTGATTTCGGGATGAAAAAACGCTAAAATGAGTTAAAACTTACAGGAAGCAATCGTTGGGGTTCAACCACGCTGAAACACAACACAATATTTGGTGGATGTTTGATCTTTACCGGCCAGCATCAGGAGTGCTGATATCTATACGAGTAGCACCTTCCTTGGTTATGCAGAATGTATCAGCCAAAGTATAACATCAATAAATGGTTGGTGGTTTCAACCCCTCTGAAAAATGTGAAGGGATGATGACATTCCAGACATATGGAAAAATAAAAATGTTCCAAACCACCAACCAGATAAATGGTAGGACATGACAATTCAAGAGAAATGCATCAACATACTCAATGCTTTTTTTCCCTTTGACAACTTTGGTTTGTTAGAATCAGGGCGATTCAAATACCATCAGGCCGATGACGCCCCAAGAAAAGATGCTTAATGCATGTTCTCTCTCTCTCTCTCTTATATTAGTGCTGCAATAAGCAATAGTGGTTGTTGGTGGTTTTTAAACCTTCGGTAAGTCCAAACATTGTGGACTAACACTGGCCTGGGGGGTTGAATTCTTGAAACGCAACGTCTTTAAACAATCACAAACCACATCCCACCTACCGTTTTACCCAAGTCTTACCATCGCTCCTTCTCAAGGACGTAGAGGCACACGGTGAACATGTACCTGCATGGAAACAACATTTTTCTTGGCCAAAAAGTGTGCCAAATCCTCATCGTTGTCTTAGTTTATCATGGCGATACATATATAATTATATGCTAATGTATGTATGTATGTATGGATGGATGGATGGATGCATGCATGGCATGGCATGGCATGGCATGGCATGGCATGGTATGGTATGTACGTATGCATATATATATATATATGTGTGTGTGTGTGTGCGATAATTCCAAACTCAGGTTATAAACAAAAACAAACACAACTAGAGCTTGGGATAATCCCCATACTAGCCATCGTTTACAGTGAGATCGCTGTTTCACCCTCAAACATATGGGATGAATCACTTGGCATAGCTAAACTACCGCGCCCAAAAAAAACGGCAATGTGAACCTCTAGCGCGGTACAAAAAATCTTTCCCCATGGCTTAACAAGGCTGCCAAACAGAAGGAGAGGGTTATGATCCATCGCCATAGTTCCTAACCTTCCTAAGTGGGCCATGATCCATGTCCATAAAGTCCGATCCATTTCCACTCAAGTTTCCCATAAACGGTAAACGTCCTATCCTCTGGCAATTTAACATAGCTTCCCGTTGACACCCCATGTCTATAGGATTTCAGTTTTGATGTTTGATTTCATCCAATTAACTGTTAGCTATGTATATGCATATCTATATGTAAATAATATGTATATGTATATGTATATGTAAAAGAATACGCATATGTATATGTGAAATAATGTTTATGAAACAATGAGTCTACTATATGCATGTGTTTGTGTGTGCATGTGTATGTATATTTATGTGTATGCGTATGTGTATGCATGTATGTATGTCTGTATGTGTGTATGTCTGTATGTGGGTATGTGTGTGTGTTGATGTGTTGATGTGTTGATGTGTTGATATGCGTGTATGTGTACATGTGTGTATGTGTGTATGTGTATGTGTGTGTGTATGTGTGTATGTGTGTATGTGTGTATGTGTGTGTATGTATGTATGTATGTATGTATGTATGTATGTATGTATGTATGTATGTATGTATGTATGTATGTATGTATGTATGTATGTATGTATGTATGTATGTATGTATGTATGTATGTGTCTATGTATGTGTCTATGTATGTGCGTATGTATGTGCATATAGTAACCATCATCATCAATATTCCATGACTATCCATGAATATTCTCATGCATGCGCTATCGACAAGAAAAGTAGATGTCCATCATATGTTCATGTGTTAGTGCTCATATTGCCCCATCAGATTCGCATAGATGTTCCATATTTTTCCCATCAATTAATTCCCTAACCCCAAGACCAAATGTTCATCGGTTGTTCCATAAATTGTTGCATTACAAACAAAAAACACTCATGTTCCATCAATTTCTCAATTTCCATACATCATTTTCACAGATTCACTCGATGGATTGGAGTAAGGGAAAATTTACAGGAAACCCCCGTGATCTTCATGGGAAAATCGATGGTTTCCGGTTAAGATTTTCCCTTAAACTAGAACCAATCCATAGATTCACCAATTTTCACATAGATTCCCAATGGATTTTCCCATAGAAATCTATCCCATAGGAAAATTTCCCATAGATATTCCCATAGATTCACCAATTTTCACCCAGAAATCTGTCCCCATCCGTCGTCCGCAACCGCGGGCGGCACCATACGCTGAGCAGGGCGTAGCAGGCCCTCCGCAAGGCCGCGCCGCGGATCCAGACCACGTCGCAGAGGGATTGGATCGCAGGAGTCCAGGACCTGGAACGAAACCCATGGGAAAACCATGGGAAAATGGAAGTTTTAATGGGAAAACCATAGGAAAACCATAGGAAAATGGAGGTTTTAAGGGGAAAACCATGGGAAACCCATAGGAAAATGGATGTTTTAATGGAAAAACCATAAGAAAACCATAGGAAAATTGATGTTTTAATGGGAAAACCATAGGAAAACCATAGGAAAATTGAAGTTTTAATGGGAAAACCATAGGAAAATGAAGGTTTTAATGGGAAAACCATAGGAAAACCATGGAAAACCCATAGGAAAATGGAGGTTTAGTAAGGTTTACCCTCTGGTAAACATACAAAATAGCTATTGAACATGGCCATTGAAATAGTGAATTTTCCCATGTATACAATTGTGATTGTCCATAGTTATGTAAACGTTTACCAGTTTACCAGAGGGTAGTATGCTTTGATATGGTTTTGATATGGATAAGGGGATTTATAATGACATAATTGAATTAATCTGATATATGCAAACAAGGTTAGGCCCCACCAGTTTTAAGCTATATCTCCCATAAACCCTTAGTATCTAGGGGGCCTCACCTTGCATATCGCTTTCCAGAGCTTAATCACCATGTTCCCTCAACTGCTATGTGGCCAAGTTGCTGAACCTGGCCCCAGCAAACTAAGCCACCACTAGGCCACTGGGGTCAGGTTCAAATATTCCAAATCTTTTCACACAACCATGTGGTCTCGAAGTCCTGTTTGTCAAATGAACCGAAAGGGCCCAATTGGGCGTCCCGGACGCCTTTTTGAGGATCCAATCTCCCTTGGCCAACCCTTGGCCAATTGACGAAAATCCAATGTCATGTTTCATAGAGAATTGGCTCCCAGCAAAAAATCGTACATATGCAAATATGTTCTTAGATGTTTCAATGGATTGGAGTAAGGGAAAATTTACAGGAAAGCCCCATGATCTTCATGGGAAAATCTATGGTTTCCTGTAAAAAAGGCGCAAACTTCACCATTGCCAGGGCATATTGTCCCACCACCAGTGGATCCAGGCGCCCGATGGCCTGTTCCTGGTGAATCAGATCATCATCATCATCATCATCATCATCATCATAATCATAATGACAAGAGTGATCACGTAATAACTAATAATAATAGTATAGTAATTCTAAGACATGCATAATTCAGTCTAATTCAATTAATTTTAATTCTCATCATCACCCAGTTCACATATATGGTACACCATCAGCCGTGTCAGCTAAGAGGCTCCAACATCATCAAGCGCATCAGGCGACATGGCAAGACCAGGTCGACCCACACTTCGCTCCACACTGCGAGCTGTGGGACGTATCCGAGGGATCCGTAGCGATGAACATGGGCAAATTATGGCAAATCAGGTGGTTTAATCTGGTTTAACAGGGAGAAGAATGGGATATATATATATATATATATGTGTGTGTGTGTGTATATCTATATATATATACATATATTCACGGATAATTCATGGATTTACCCTAATCAAACAAGGCGATTTTTCACATCCTCCATAAATGAGATATTTTCCACGGGTTTGATTACCATAGGGTGCTAAGTAAATATGCAATTAACATCAACCCGTTTCAATCATCCCAGACAAAAGCATGCCAGATAGTAAACCTCGGGTTCATAATTGGGTTTACCTCATTAATTGCCCAAGGGTATTTTGATTCATGGCTATGCAAAACTCACCGTACTGGGTAAGTGGGGTTGAAACCCATTGATCCCAGAGGGTATACTGATCACCACTCCCTGTTGACCCGCGATGGTTGAAAAAACCACTGGGTCAACTGGGTCTCCAAGGTTGAAAACATAGGCATGGGTCAATCAAAACTGAAAAAGTTGGCTAAATGCACGTCCAAAGATCTAATAAATCTATTAATCTATGGCTTAGAGCAGTAGATTCCTACATTTCGAAAATACAAAGTACTTTTCTGCATCTGGGGGATGCTATTTCATCACTACAGCTTCACCCGCCTCAACATCACTAGGCCAGGTGCCAATTCCCCAGGTGTCCGTCCATCTGCCCCTGCTATCTCAAGACACCACCTCCGAACACCATATGTTTTTGGGGCTCCATGTTACTTTTCAACCTGTATACCTGGGTTATCTTGGACTTTCTTTCTACTAAAAATATGCTATTTGTATATATGTATATATCCCATGTGTAGCAGAAAGATCAAACTACAAAATTATAGGTACTAATCCAAAACAAAAAAACACACATATATATATATACACAATGGAGATCAATAGTTCATCACCCACTTCTATCTTAAATTGGGGGTTGCAGATGCCAAGCGGTTCAAAACATCGCCAGCCCGTAAGCCAACACGGGGCAAAGCGTCTCGTAAGTCCTGCCTTTGATCTGGTAGTCTGGATGCAGTCCCTCATCGTGCCTGCCGGGAACCCGTGATGTTTTTCGTTGGCTTTTAGGATGTGCTGCTTTGGTGATTTTTGCGGATAAAAAAAGCAGCGAAACCCCAAATGGAGGATTACAGAAAACCATGCGAACTCATCTGAAAAAATCTGTGACCATCACCACAAGACACCTTGGTACAGTGTGGCCGTGTGGCCAACATGGCCAACACCTAAAACAACAATGCCAAATCCAGGAGTGAAACCGTGCCAATGGGTTCCTCAAATACATGCCATAAGTTATGCATATCTCTTGTAATTTCATGTGTATGAATATACATATACATACATACATATATATATATATATACATACGTATGTGTATATAATATATAAATATAGAAACATATATATATATATGTAAATAAATGTATATATATATGTGTATATATATATATAGACATTCTCACCTTTGTGTGCGAGTATTTCATGAGTACCTCCTCTTCACGGAGACTTCTCCAAGGTTTTCGCCAGATTGACGGCGCCAGACCTGGTGGGAGTGCAGGTCTCGATGAAGGCCAGCAAGGAGATCAGGTCCACCCAACCGATGAAGGACGCCAAGTAGCTGCACCTGCAGGACCAGCAGCGGCCTTTCCGGAAGCCATGGCTATTTGGGGGTGCAAACCAAAGGTGCAAAAAAAAACATGAAAAGGATTGAAAAGGTATAAAACTATGGGATTTTAAAACCCCAAGGGTTGTTGAGATATGTTGAGATATAATGATATCAGCCCAAAAACTATGGTTATAATTGGCATTAATTGGCTATATATCCACTTAGTTCACTTGAACTGCACTTCCAAGTAGGTACATCCTTTACGTTACTACAAATGACAACTTGTCCATGCTATGTGGAAAAAGAAGCCAGATGGTAAGTTGGCTTACGACACACTAATCTAATTGGGGTATACCCTACTGGATAATATTATGTGGCTATTAACAACTTACCATTCATGGGGCCCGCACGACCAGTGCAACTTGGACTGGCCATGGAGTTAGTGAACTGGTGATGATGAGTGGTTGAGCCACATCGCTGAGAAATAGGAAATTTGGATGGAAGATGAAACATATTCAAACCAGCCACCAAATCATCATTGGTTGCGTACCATTGCACACCTGTTGCTTCCCCAATATATCATCATTTGGGATGGTGAAAACTCCATTAATTTTTGGGTAAATCGCAATTAAAGCATGTGACAAACCACCAACCAGTTACATTCACACACACACACAGTTCAGCTATATCAACTAAAAACATCCCAACATTTCCTGGTTAAACTTGTTCGCTGCAACCCTGACGTTGCGCTGCGTCTGACTTCAGGTGGATATGAAGCGAAGGTTAATGCTATTAAATTACCCGAACCAACATATTGTTCACAGGGGGTGGCGAATTTGAATCCCTTATGCAGATAAAGTTGATGTTACTACCCCACTCAACATATTGTTCATACGGGGTGGCGATTTTTTATCCCTTATGAGGATAAAGTTGATGTTATTACCCCAAGCATCCCCAAGCAACATCTTGTTCATAGGGGGTGGCGAATTTTGATTCCTTATTAAGATAAAATTGATGTTATTACCCCAAGCAACATCTTGTTCATAGGGGGTGGCGATTTGTTTGATCCATCATGAAGATAGGGGATGGCAAATTTTGATCCCTCATGGAGATATAGTTGATTTTACCACAATCAACATGCTGTTCATAGGGGGTGGCGAATTTTGACCCCTCATGGAGATAAAGTTTATGTTATTACCCCAGTCAACATATTGTTCAGAGAGGGTGGCGAACTTTAATGCAATGATGACCATGATGTGATGATGATGATCATGACGATTGTAACTGTGGAGCAACGTCCGGATGGGGGCGAACTTGTTTAAATCACCTTTTGTGGTGCCTTTTCCAAACCCCTCCTAAATTTCGAGCTGCTTCAAGTCCAATATAACAAGGGCGGGGAGTGAACCGCCTGAGAACCACCATGCGAGCCACGAACTCCAGTAAGAACCAGAGGGTCCTCAGCTTCAGAACCGTTGAAAGTGTGTTGAAAGCGAAGAGTTTTTGTAAACAAAAACCATGGGAATTTGACATCGGGTGTTTCTAAAGATGTTTACCATTCAATTGTAACCCCATTTACGGTTTATGGTAAACCAGAATAATTATAATAACAGTAAAAACGTTTATTGTAACCCCATTTTAAGAGTGTTGAAATCAGCAACACATGGGGTTACAATCGACAACACGTTTCATTTTCGACAATTGACCGCGGTGTAAATCATCTATCAAGATGGGTGGTAACTTCACAAACCATTTGCCAAATATTACCCACTGGTAAACGTACAAAAAACATGGAAAATCACAATTTTGTAGCTAAGTAAATCAACTATAAATGGCCATGTTCAAAAGCTTTTTGCAAGTTTACCAGGGGGTATAGAAGGCTTCAGAACCATCGCCCCAGACGTGGGATGCCAAGAGGTTTATAGATCTTTACCAAATTCCTGGATTCATCTCCAACCAGCCATGTAAATGAGAGTAAATGGACGATTCAACCAGCAAACCCAAATGCTCCATGTATGGAATATTTACCAACATTTACCCAAAAAATCAAATGTAGGTAAATATACCATACATGGAGCATCTGGGAAAGATAGTGGTATAACAAGACCAACCATTCACCAACCATTTTACGGACAGATCATGGGATATGAATGGGCTAGGAGAACCTCCCATTCATCTGATTGCCAATAATGTTTGGCTTTATGTGCTCAATGTATTTACAGTTAAGGCCATTTATTAGTTATAACTGGTTATTTCTATGGGATTATACATTCTATAAATGGGGTTTTCTTAGTACTTATAACTGGTATTTCGGGCCATAACTGTACCATCAGCAACTGTTAAATCGTCTGGCCGGGCGAATCTGGGCAAATTACTCTTGGCGAAGTCATCACATCGGGGGTGCGGCGGGTGTTGAACTTTCCATGATGGATTACCCTCTGGTAAACTGTCACATAACTATGGAAAGATCCACCATTTTCAATGGGTAAATCCACTATAAATGGGTCATTTTCAATAGCAAACTGTTGACATAACCAGAGGTTATATCCCATTAACTCCCATTAAATCCCATTAAACCACCATTTTCCTATGGGTTTTCCTATGTTAGTCATTACCAGGCTGGGTAATCCTATAGTGTCAGCTCCAACGGAGTGGAAAATTGGGAAAATTGGTGATTTCTGCGGAAAATCCATAGGAATATCTATGGGAAAGATATGGAAAATCAATGGATTGGTTTGTTTAAGGGAAATTTTTAACCGGAAAGCCCCATATTCAATATTCAATGGGAAAATCCAGAGTTTCCGGTTAAGATTTTCCCAACAAAACCAATCCATTGAGTCAACCATGCACCCATCATGGGACCCATCCCTGGGCGCAGAATCTTTTGGCCTCGCTCCGCTGGGAAACTTCTGCTGGTTCTTTTGCTTCAGACTTTTGTACAACATCTGCTGCGCCGCCATGGCTGCATTCCTCAGGAGATTTCAGTCAGCGAATAGGGCTAGTCATGATTGATTTTCTATAGATGGGCCATGGTGAGGTGGTTAACTAGTAACTTAGTAGACATGAAGTTCAATTGGGATGATAAAGCATTTATAACCCAGTTACTAATCAATTAGTTAATCACATGGCCCATCTAAGTAATGGTTTGTTTCTACACTCAATGATTTTTAATTTTACGTCTCCAGTCGTGATTCCCTCCAGTCATGCTAAGAAACTAGAACGGAATGCCATGTAAGATGCTAATGGCTATCCAAGATTTGACTTTTCATACTGTTTCTCAAGGGATTGGTGGGGAAGGCTTACAGGAACTCCCCATATTTGATGGGGAAAAAACATGAAAAAACATGGTTTCCCGTAGGCTCCACGGGTGAAGCGAACAAGCGAACTGCCGAA